TGACTTTATATAACATTAGTATGTGTTCACTGTGACTTTATATAACAGCAGTATGTGTTCACGGAGGTGACTTTATATAACAGCAGTATGTGTTCACTGTGACTTTATATAACAGCAGTATGTGTTCACGGAGGTGACTTTATATAACAGCAGTATGTGTTCACAGAGGTGACTTTATATAACAGCAGTATGTGTTCACGGAGGTGACTTTATATAACAGCAGTATGTGTTCATGGAGGTGACTTTATATAACAGGAGTATGTGTTCACGAGGTGACTTTATATAACAGCAGTATGTGTTCATGGAGGTGACTTTATATAACAGGAGTATGTGTTCACGGAGGTGACTTTATATAACAGCAGTATGTGTTCACGGAGGTGACTATATAACAGGAGTATGTGTTCACGAGGTGACTTTATATAACAGCAGTGTGTGTTCACGGAGGTGACTTTATATAACAGCAGTATGTGTTCATGGAGGTGACTTTATATAACAGCAGTATGTGTTCATGGAGGTGACTTTATATAACAGTAGTACGTGTTCACGGAGGTGACTTTATATAACAGGAGTATGTGTTCACGGAGGTGGCTTTATATAACAGCAGTATGTGTTCACAGAGGTGACTTTATATAACAGCAGTATGTGTTCATGGAGGTGACTTTATATAACAGCAGTATGTGTTCACGGAGGTGACTTTATATAACAGCAGTATGTGTTCACAGAGGTGACTTTATATAACAGCAGTATGTGTTCACGGAGGTGACTTTATATAACAGCAGTATGTGTTCATGGAGGTGACTTTATATAACAGGAGTATGTGTTCACGAGGTGACTTTATATAACAGCAGTATGTGTTCATGGAGGTGACTTTATATAACAGGAGTATGTGTTCACGGAGGTGACTTTATATAACAGCAGTATGTGTTCACGGAGGTGACTATACAACAGGAGTATGTGTTCACGAGGTGACTTTATATAACAGCAGTGTGTGTTCACGGAGGTGACTTTATATAACAGCAGTATGTGTTCATGGAGGTGACTTTATATAACAGCAGTATGTGTTCACGGAGGTGACTTTATATAACAGTAGTACGTGTTCACGGAGGTGACTTTATATAACAGGAGTATGTGTTCACGGAGGTGGCTTTATATAACAGCAGTATGTGTTCACAGAGGTGACTTTATATAACAGCAGTATGTGTTCATGGAGGTGACTTTATATAACAGCAGTATGTGATCACGGAGGTGACTTTATATAACAGCAGTGTGTGTTCACGGAGGTGACTTTATATAACAGCAGTATGTGTTCATGGAGGTGACTTTATATAACAGCAGTATGTGTTCACGGAGGTGACTTTATATAACAGCAGTATGTGTTCACGGAGGTGACTTTATCTAACAGCAGTATGTGTTCACGGAGGTGACTTTATATAACAGCAGTATGTGTTCACGGAGGTGCGCCATACAACCATTTATTCATTCATTCATTTTCAACCCCTTTATTAGTCCCTTTCTGGCTGGGGAGGGTGGCAATGAGAACTGCCACCCCAAAGCTCAAAGCAGTGGTCCCTCGCTGATTGAATCTAAATCGAATCGGACTGAAAAAAATGAATCGCTAGATTAATCGTTTAAAAAATAATCGTTTATCCCAGCCCTAATCCTTAGGCAAGACACTTCACCCACATTAAAATGAGTCTGGTGTGTGTGTGAGGGGCCGATAGCACAGACTGGATGCCTCGCTTCTGTCAGTGTGCTCCAGGGCAGCTGTGGCTACAGTAGTTTATCACCACAGTCTTAGGAGCCAATGAAAAATGACATAAAAACCCAAGCAATAGCATAATAATAATTATCATGTCTGTGTATGAGGAGTGTGCAGTGTGACATCACCTGCAGTGTCTGATTCAGAAAAGACCAATCAAGACAAGATCCAAGAACAGACCTGGAACAAGATCAGACCAGGCCTTCTCTTCTTGCCTAAACATAATAATGAGTTCAATGTTTCCCCATACTAAGCTCCAGGTCGAGATTTAGAGGCTGGCGTTTATTTTATTCAATCATTATTCAATGAAAACGAACCTGTGGCATTAGCCAATCAGCGTTAAGCTTCCTTCCCTCAAGGCCAGCGTGCCCTACAGCGCGTGCTGTCATCTGATTGGATATGGGAAATAGAGCGACATCACAGAAGACATGTGTACATTTATATGGTGTCAATGCGATAAACAGAAACTGATTAAATTGATAATATTGTTTTCGTTTTAGTTTTATCAACTCTCTACGGCTGAAGGAGGGGAAAATACTGATCTGGTAGTTACAACGCCATCCTCAAGAAAAACAGGAGACATGACCAAGACTTTGCCCCTGGACACGAGCACACAGCCGCCGCAAAGCTGAGGCTGAAGCCGTTCGAAACAACAGTTTGTCTTTAAGCAAACCTGCAGAGCTAACGAGGCTAGCCCACTACAAACCTGCAGAGCTAACGAGGCTAGCCCACTACAAACCTGCAGAGCTAACGAGGCTAGCCCACTACAAACCTGCAGAGCTAACGAGGCTAGCCCACTACAAACCTGCAGAGCTAACGAGGCTAGCCCACTACAAACCTGCAGAGCTAACGAGGCTAGCCCACTACAAACCTGCAGAGCTAACAAGGCTAGCCCACTACAAACCTGCAGAGCTAACGAGGCTAGCCCACTACAAACCTGCAGAGCTAACAAGGCTAGCCCACTACAAACCTGCAGAGCTAACGATGCTATGCTAATGCTACGGGTGGGTCGGAGAGGGCGCCGCGTGCTGTCGCGGTCCTGCGTCACCACTGCGTTGAAACCACACGCTGCTGATGCACGGTATTCTGGCGATAGTTGCATATTTTATGCTTGTCACGTGGAACATTTCTGTTGAAATTACTGGATGTTGTAGTTGTACTTTCTCACTGTATTTCTCAGAATCCGAACGCTCGTGTGGCACATGCGGCCACGTTCTCAGCATGGTCAACTCTAAAGTCTATGGTTTCAATAGTTTCTATATGTACTGTCTATGGTTCCAACACGAGAGGATCATTGTTGTAGGGGTGGGAAGCGGGTCTGTGGCACTAAAGATTTTAGATCGCTGGGTTCCGGCATCACTGCAGGCGCAGGTCTGAAATGCACGGCCTGCCACCAAGACCAGACCATTGCCAGTCTGAACTAGACCAAGGCAAGACCTTTGTTTGTATCAAAGTGTGTTCTCACAGATGTAAACCCAGCTTTAACACTTAATCTAATAAGATTTTTCGCCAATAATTTTAACCTAAATTTCCGTAAACTGCCGCTGAATGGTTTGTGGATCTCGAGCGCCCCCACGTGCCTCCTATCAGAACATCACATCTTTGCTTTTCCTTTGATCTCCGGTCGAATGCGGTTTAACCTAATTATTTATGTTAGATGTGTTTGATTAAACGTTCTCAAAAATATACGTGTGTGTATATATACCTAATTTAAGGTTCAATCGTATTCTTTATTTTAGATGTGTTTGATTAAACGTTCTAAAAAATAAGCTTGTGTATATATACGTAATTCAAGGTTCAATCGTCTCTGATTTAAAATGACTGTAATAGCCCTATTGATACGTAGTCACGGTGGCCGAGAGGTTAAGGCGTTGGACTCGAAATCCAATGGGGTTTCCCCGCACAGGTTCGAATCCTGTTCGTGACGATCATTTTTCGCAGTTTCTTTTATTACATCTGATAATTTCAATGATAGAATTTCTGTCACGTTCTTTATTCTTCGTAAACCTTTAAACGAATTTGTAAAAAGCGTCGTGGATCTCATATTACACACGTTACAGTGTTACTTACCTCTTCAGTTTGAATTGAGTGATGTTTCTCAATCTTAATCTTTCTACTTTCTACATCTTTACCTTATTTTAAGTAATAATAATAATAATTTATTATACTACTACAGACTGTATTTGCTGTTTTTAATCATGCATATGTATATGTATAAATATTATTGTAGTCTGTTGCGGTATGTTTACTAGGATGTCAGTAAATATACGGAACAATAGGCATTTTTCATAGACAATAATAATATTAATAAATATACATTAACAGTCTTGACGCTGTATTCTCGCGAGTCAAACTTTCCTTGAGTGGTGCTAGCAAGAACAGACAAAAATAAAATCGATTCATTTCAATACGTTATGTCAGTATGTCCACCAAATCTTATTAAACATTTTGTAATCGTAGTGTACTTGAGGAGTGCTTGTGGATAAACGTCAGGTTATTCTTGAATTAAGCGGAAAACCTATCTTCACCCCTATTTTCGGGGTCTCAATGGTACAGTCCGAATCTTATATACAGACCCGGCTCGCGCCGCTGACGTTAAGTGTCCTGTCCCAGCACCGTGTCAAACTCAGCTGGTTTCCTTCAACTTCTAGACTAATCTAGGCCTTAGAAACATTTCCAAAGCCTCATTATTGTGGATTATTGTCAAAAATTGCGAAAAACAACGGGGTTTAGTCGATTCGAAGCGCAAACATTACAGGAAAGCTGTTAAAGGGCATCCGGGCTAGTAACAGTTGGTAGTTAGCATTTAGCGGCTAACGAAGCCAGCACAAAAGGAATGCGGTTTCCTGTCTTGATATTACTTCCAAATTAGCTCAAACCTGCGGGAATATCACTGTAGCAACTGGCACCAGGGGTATATCGTGGCACATACAGTTTGCATTCATTGTTTGGCTTTTGGTGAACTGGGAAGTCCTGGATTTGGGCTTTTGTCTGTTCCAAACGCATTTTTATAGCACATAAAGCGATTGTTATGGATGACAGAATGGAGTTGGATGGACACAGTCTGGACAGTAGGGGAAGCTAACACGACGCCACATTATCTCACTGTTGAATCTTGTGGAGAAGCTGTTGCGTGGAGTCAAGACGCGAAGATTTATGAGTTTTCTGTGAGACAGTGCGTTTGATTGGTCCCAAAGCTGATTTTTGGGGCACTTCCATAGGACCAGGAAAGTGTTAAAACATGGCAGTCCCCACCACCGAAGCTGTGTTTCTGCTGAAGGACGTGAAACCTGGATCCAAAAATCTCAATATTGTGTTTATTGTGTTGGAAATAGGTGAGTAGCAGGTCACTCTGCAAAACATACATTATTCCACATTTATCACTGTTCATGTCTTTTACACTTTAATCAGTTATATTTGATGTGGCCCATTATTTAAACAAATGGTGTTTTATGGACCAAACAAAGACACGTGGTTTCTCAGACAGAAGATGTACATAAAGCTACATGACCAGAACCTTCCCAGGGAGGCTTCCAGGAAGTATTCTAGACAGAGGCCTGAGCCAACTCAACTGGTTCCTCGCCACGTGGAGGAGCAGTGGCTCTATTCCAAGCTCCTCCCATGTGACTGAGCTCCACTCTGGAGGAAACTCATGTGGAGCTTGTATCCATGATCTCATCCTTTCGGTTATTACCCAAAGATTATGACCAGAGGTGAGGGAGGGGACTAGAGCTCTGACTGCAGGCGCTGCTCCCTCATGACCATAGTGAAACTGAAGGGGAGTATTCGGAACACTCACGGATCACGCATTTTGTGAAGACATGTGATCTTTGAGTCTCTGAGGTCCAGCTGCAGTGGTCTCCTGGAGTCTTCCCTTTTCGTCTCTAACAGGTTTTTATGTTTAATGTGTTGTTTTCAGGTCGAGTGACGAAGACAAAGGACGGTCACGAGGTGCGCTCCTGTAAAGTGGCCGACAAGAGCGGGAGCATCGCCATCTCTGTGTGGGACGAGCTGGGCAGCCTGATCCAGCCGGGCGACATCATCAAACTGACCAGAGGGTAAGAATGAGGTCATAGTAGGGCTGGGCGATATGGCAAAATAGTAAAATCTCAATTTTTATTTCCTGCTTTGGACAATTTCGATTTTAAATCTTCAAATCTTTTCATTAAAGTCACCAAAGACAGACTTTGCCCTTAAAAATATTTTTTTTATCTTTCCGCTCAATATTCAAGTTTCAAAACGTATTATAAAAGTCTTGTACAGACTGTGCTGATATTGGTAAGTATTATTCATGTGCTGCTGGAACTCTCACAAATCCTTCATTCGATTTCACAATTTTCACATTTTTCACAAATTCGATTTTTTTCAAAAGGCGATTAATTGCCTAAATTAGATTTATTGCCCAGCCCTAAGTCATAGTGACATCACTGACCAGAGGGTAATAAGGTCATAGTGACATCACTGACCAGAGGGTAATGAGGTCATAGTGACATCATCAAATTGACCACAGGGTTTAGACCAGAGACTGTGGTAGACCAGAGACTGTGGTAGACCAGAGACTGTGGTAGACCAGAGACTGTGGTAGACCAGAGACTGTGGTAGACCAGAGACTGTGGTAGACCAGAGACTGTGGTAGACCAGAGACTGTGGTAGACCAGAGACTGTGGTAGACCAGAGACTGTGGTAGACCAGAGACTGTGGTAGACCAGAGACTGTGGTAGACCAGAGACTGTGGTAGACCAGAGACTGTGGTAGGCCAGAGACTGTGGTAGGCCAGAGACTGTGGTAGGCCAGAGACTGTGGTAGGCCAGAGACTGTGGTAGGCCAGAGACTGTGGTAGGCCAGAGACTGTGGTAGGCCAGAGACTGTGGTAGGCCAGAGACTGTGGTAGGCCAGAGACTGTGGTAGGCCAGAGACTGTGGTAGGCCAGAGACTGTGGTAGGCCAGAGACTGTGGTAGGCCAGAGACTGTGGTAGGCCAGAGACTGTGGTAGGCCAGAGACTGTGGTAGGCCAGAGACTGTGGTAGGCCAGAGACTGTGGTAGGCCAGAGACTGTGGTAGGCCAGAGACTGTGGTAGGCCAGAGACTGTGGGAGGCCAGAGACTGCGGTCATATGAGCAACTGGAACTGGTCAAAATGTTTTCATGTGTTGCAGATATGCGTCAATCTGGAAAGGCTGTCTGACTCTGTACACAGGGAGAGGGGGAGACCTGCAGAAGATTGGAGAGTGAGTTCTGTCTGTGTGTGTCTGTGTGTGTCTGTGTGTGTCTGTCTGTGTCTGTGTCAATCAAAAAGAGCTTCCGGTTGTACTTCCTGGAAAAACGTGCCTGAATGGCTCTGATATCTGTTGTTTGTAGGTTCTGCATGGTTTACTCCGAGGTCCCCAACTTCAGTGAGCCCAACCCAGACCTGCTGAGTACCAGTAACCAGAACAAACCAGTGAGTACACAAAGACGGGCACATGGCCACAGAGAGAGATGGACACATGGTCACAGAGAGAGAGACGGGCACATGGTCACAGAGAGAGAGACGGGCACATGGTCACAGAGAGAGAGACGGGCACATGGTCACAGAGAGAGAGACGGGCACATGGTCACAGGGAGAGAGACGGGCACATGGTCACAGAGAGAGAGACGGGCACATGGTCAGAGAGAGAGAGACGGGCACATGGTCAGAGAGAGAGAGACGGGCACATGGTCACAGAGAGGGAGACGGGCACATGGTCAGAGAGAGGGAGACGGGCACATGGTCACAGAGAGAGAGACGGGCACATGGTCACAGAGAGAGAGACGGGCACATGGTCTCAGAGAGAGAGACTGGCGCCTGGTCAGAGAGACTGGCGCCTGGTCAGAGAGACTGGCCCTGGTCAGAGAGACTGGCGCCTGGTCAGAGAGACTGGCGCCTGGTCAGAGAGAGAGAGACGGGCGCCTGGTCAGAGAGAGAGAGACGGGCGCCTGGTCAGAGAGAGAGAGACGGGCGCCTGGTCAGAGAGAGAGAGACGGGCGCCTGGTCAGAGAGAGAGAGACGGGCGCCTGGTCAGAGAGAGAGAGACGGGCGCCTGGTCAGAGAGAGAGAGACGGGCGCCTGGTCAGAGAGAGAGAGACGGGCGCCTGGTCAGAGAGAGAGAGACGGGCGCCTGGTCAGAGAGAGAGAGACGGGCGCCTGGTCAGAGAGAGAGAGACTGGCGCCTGGTCAGAGAGAGAGAGACTGGCGCCTGGTCAGAGAGAGAGAGACTGGCACATGGTCAGAGAGAGAGACTGGCGCCTGGTCAGAGAGAGACACGGGCGCCTGGTCAGAGAGAGACACGGGCACATGGTCAGAGAGAGAGACGGGCACATGGTCAGAGAGACACGGTCACAGACATCCCTGACCTTATGGTCTACTGAACCATGTGTGTTTGTGCAGGGTAAACCGGAGCAGAACCAGAGGGGGAACTCTCCTCCAAACCAGAACTCAGGTACAGCTGCTGCTCCAGGTGCGAGACCCCCAACCCTTCTGTGTCAACACTCTGATCTCCAACTCTTACACTGTGTCTCTTATTCCCCTTTACACTGTCATCTGTACACTCTACTCTGTATTCAACCTGTTCTCTTCAATCTTCTCTCATCTCCTCACCTCCTCCTCTCACTCCTCACTCCTCACCTCCTCCTCTCACTCCTCACCTCCTCCTCTCACTCCTCACCTCCTCCTCTCACTCCTCACCTCCTCCTCCCTCTTCTTTCTCTCCTCTCACCCCTCTCCTCCCTCCTCTCACCTGCTCTTCTCCACTCTTCTTTCTCTCTCCTCCCTCCTCTCACCTCCTTTCCCCTCTCTGCAGGTAACGGCTCTCTGGGCTCTTCCTTCTCCCCTGGTGTCCCTCCCTCTGCTGCCCCTGGAGGCTTTGGAGCGTCGCGACCAAACGGCAGAGCTCCTGGTAACGGGGCGCCCCAGGGTTCAGTGACAGGACCCAACCAGGTCCCAGCCAAGCCTGTGGCCATCAGCAATGGACGAGACCCGAGGAGAGCCAAGAGATGAGGCTGCCACTGCTGCCACACCTGCCCTGGGGCGTACAGGACCCAGACCACAGCCTGACTCCACGATCGGAGGCCTTTCACATAAAAGAAACACGACAGAAGTGTTGGAGTTTTCCTCAGACGCCAATGAGAAATCAGGAAAACTATATTCACCATAATGTGTTTGTGACTAAAGTGCCATACGGAACGACACAGTGGCCGCCTGCTCCTTCTGGTCTCTCTCTGGTCTCTCTCTGGTCTCTCTCTGGTCTCTCTCTGGTCTCTCTCTGGTCTCTCTCTGGTCTCTCTCTGGTCTCTCTCTGGTCTCTCTCTGGTCTCTCTCTGGTCTCTCTCTGGTCTCTTTCTGGTCTCTTTCTCTTGCTCTCTCTGTTCATTATCTCAAAGATTAGATAAAATAAACTTTATTTATCTCACAATGGAGAAATGAACAAAACACTGCTTTAGGTCTGTTAGATTTGTGGATGAAGTTTTTCTTTCTGGTTTGGTCTTAAGCGCCCCCAGACCCGGCTCAGTCCAGACCCGGCTCAGCCTCAAACCTGAACCTTGTTCTATTGTCACGTTTTACAAATACTTAAAACTGTGGCGACTGAAGATGAGGGAGGACACAAAATGGCTGCCAACTTCTCACACAATAAACTTCTCAATCTGAGACCGGACCCCGTGAGAGACTGGACCCCAAGCCCAAGGCAGCCTTCTATTTAGATGTTTAGATGTTTGTCTTTTTGGTTCAGTCTCAGTGAGAATGGAAAATGTATTTTTTAATTAATAATAGAAATGAGTTTCTAAATAGTTTTCAGAGTTTCCTCTGGTTTAATTCACATTAATAAGACATTATTTACACAGTTCTTTTGGACACAACCGTCTCATCAATATTGAAATAAATTTCACTTTTTACTGAAATACTTTGACTTGCCCATATATCTGTATTTACTTAAAGCTGGAGTACGTGACTTTAGTCCATCATGTGATTCCTTCTGGTCTCTCTCTGGTCCAGAAATAATTGATGTGAAACTAGAAAAGCAACTGTTTTAGAATCAGAACAAACATGGGTTTAATAGAGTTCTGTTGTATAAGTCCCCCAGCTTTAGTCCCTGCTCATCTGGGCTGTCTGTAGCGCCTCCGTGTGGTGACTCTGCTGCTGTGCAAATAAACTCCTTTGGTTCCGCTGTTTTCTTACATGTGACATATTTCCTTCTGTTTCTTTCTTTCGCAGGTGAAACGTAAATCACACAAACACCATTTAAATAAAAGTCCCTGAAAGTCTGAACGCCCCAAACACAAACCTGATCCCTCCACGGAGCCCCGCCCCCTTCTGTCACACTATGATGTCATTATGCCACTATGATGTCATAGTCGGAGCAGTTCTCTGTCTTTAAAACAAGTGTTCCACATCAATTCGTTCTGGTCATTTCTCCGGTGAAATGATTGGTCTCTGGTGTTTGGTGTTTCTGGTCTCCCTCTGGGTAGACCTCAACAAACCATTATCAGTGGAAATTCCTTGTAACTTCAAAGCTGGGATCAGTAAATCTGGTTCTGGCTCTAAAACAGTTGCTTCTGTTTCTAGTTTCATGTGTTTCTGTCTCTCACATCTTTAGATCAAAGAGAGGACCTCCCTCTCTCATACATTTAAAATAATATTGAAAATAGAGTTACAGTTACTATATACAATATACAGTGCACATGTCGCACACAATGTAAGGTGGCTTTATAAAGGGCAGTAAGGGACTTCTAGAGGGCGGGGAGGTTAAGAAGTGTTCAAGAGTCCAACAGCAGAGGGGAAGATTACATGTATGGTCTCTAGTTCCTGTTCTCTGGTTCATGGTTCCTGGCCACTGGTCTCAGGTCATACTCTGGTCTCGGTCCCTTGTTTCTGGTCTCTGATGCTTGAACCCTGGTCTCTGATCCCTAATCTCTGGTCCCTGGTCTCTGGTCCCTGGTCCTTGGTCCCTGATCCCTGGTCTCTGATCCCTGGTCTCTCTTTGATCCCTGGTCCCTGTTCCTGGTCTCGCGCTGGTCACACTCTGGTCTCGTGTCCAAACCTCTTGGAGCTTGTGACATTTGCAGAAACAGGAAACACAAGACTGAAAACACGAGAAGAACTTCCTCTAAAGGCGCAACAACAGTTTACAGCCGCCCCACTGCCCCACCTGGTCCAAGAGGTCTCCCATCACAGGACTGACCAGGCCCAGTCCTGCTTAGCTTCAGAGGTCTGTCAGGTTCACAGAAGAGGATCAGTGTAGATAAATATAACTGTATGTTATATTTAAACCAGGGACCTTCTTGGTGTGAGGGGAGTGCTCTGGTTTCTCACTGGTCTCTCTCTTATCTGTGTGTGTGTGTGTGGAGTGTGTCTGTGTGTGTGTGTCTATCCTCTGTGCGTGTGTCTCTGTGTGTGTGTGTGTGTGTGTGTGTGTGTGTGTGGAGTGTGTCTGTGTCTGTGTGCGTGTGTCTATCCTCTGTGTGTGTGTGGAGTGTGTGTGTGTGTGTGTGTTTGTTTTCGGTGTATCCTCTGTGTGTGTGTGTATGTGTCTCTCTCTCTCTTTCGTTTGTGTGTAGGTGTGTGTGTCTCTCTGTGTGTAGGTGTGTGTGTAGGTGTGTGTGTCTCTCTGTGTGTAGGTGTGTGTGTCTGTGTGTGTGTTTCTCTGTGTGTGTGTGTGTGTTTGTTTTCGGTGTAAACTCTGTGTGTGTGTGTATGTGTCTCTCTCTCTCTTTCGTTTGTGTGTAGGTGTGTGTGTCTCTCTGTGTGTAGGTGTGTGTGTGTGTGTGTTTCTCTCTGTGGGTGTGTGTGTGTGTCTCTCTCTCTCTTTTGTCTGTGTGTGTGTCTCTGTGTGTGTGTGTGTGTGTGTCTCTCTCTCTCTCTGTGTGTGTGTGTGCATGTTTCTCTCTGTGGGTGTTTCTGTGTGTGTGTCTCTCTCTGTGTATCTCTCTCTCTGTGTATGTGTGTCTCTGTGTGTGTCTCTCTCTCTGTGTGTGTCTGTGTGTATCTCTCTCTCTCTCTCTGTGTGTGTCTCTCTCTCTGTGTGTGTGTGTGTCTCTCTGTGTGTGTATCTCTCTCTCGATGTGTGTGTGTGTGTGTGTGTGTGTGTGTGTCTCTCTGTATGTGTGTCCCCCTCTCTCTGTGTGTGTGTCTCTCTCTCTCTGTGTCTGCGTGTCTGTGTGTGTGTGTTTCTCTGTGTGGGTGTGTCTATGTGTGTGTTTCTCTGTGTGTGTGTCATCAGTTCCTCACACTCCTCTGTCTCCGCAGCAGCAGCTTCATCATGTCAGGTTTGTCTCTTTTTACTTCATTTTAAACATGATTTTAATGTTTCTGTTTTGTTTCCTTACTTTGTGCTAAACAAATAAATGTGTCATAATCACAATAATCATCAATAGTTTTACTGAGAAGTCAACATTTTGTTTTCATCTGATCAGAAATCACTGCAGGACTCTCTCTCTGGTCTCTCTCTGGTCTCTCTCTGGTCTCTCTCTGGTCTCTCTCTGGTCTCTTTATGGTCTCTCTCTGGCCTCTTTATGGTCTCTCTCTGGTCTCTCTCTGGTCTCTCTCTGGTCTCTCTCTGGTCTCTCTCTGGTCTCTTTCTGGTCTCTCTCTCTGGTCTCTCTGGTCTCTCTCTGGTCTCTCTCTGGTCTCTCTCTGGTCTCTCTCTCTGGTCTCTCTGGTCTCTCTCTGGTCTCTTTCTGGTCTCTCTCTCTGGTCTCTCTGGTCTCTCTCTGGTCTCTTTATGGTCTCTCTCTGGTCTCTTTATGGTCTCTCTCTGGCCTCTTTGTGGTCTCTCTCTGGTCTCTCTCTGGTCTCTTTCTGGTCTCTCTCTGGTCTCTTTCTGGTCTCTCTCTGGTCTCTTTCTGGTCTCTCTCTGGTCTCTCTCTCTGGCCTCTCTCTCTGGTCTCTCTCTGGTCTCTCTCTGGTCTCTCTTTGGTCTCTCTCTGGTCTCTCTCTGGTCTCTCTCTGGTCTCTCTCTGGTCTCTTTCTGGTCTCTCTCTGGTCTCTCTCTCTGGTCTCTCTCTGGTCTCTCTCTGGTCTCTCTCTGGTCTCTTTCTGGTCTCTCTCTGGTCTCTCTCTGGTCTCTGTCTACTCTCTCTGGTCTCTTTCTGGTCTATCTCTGGTCTCTTTCTGGTCTCTCTCTGGTCTCTCTCTGGTCTCTCTCTGGTCTCTGTCTACTCTCTCTGGTCTCTTTCTGGTCTCTCTCTGGTCTCTTTCTGGTCTCTCTCTGGTCTCTTTCTGGTCTCTCTCTGGTCTCTTTCCCTACAGAGTTGCCCATGGTTTTACATCAATACACGCCATAAACTATTTTTCACCCTGTTGCCGTGACAACGACAAACATTCCCCATTCTGTGTCAATGGGAAAACTGATAAATCTCAAATTTTCACCTCACACTTTTCATAACTCTGCTCTAATGGTTCCACCAATTTGGTTCAAATTAGCTCCACATCATCTCAACACAATAGCGTCAAAAGTTAGCTTCAGAGTTTGTATCAGTGAAACGATACGCGGCGGACTCGGAATGATTGTTTTTTTCTAGAGATGAATGAAAGTTCCACTCAGTGATCCTCTGCATTTACAGGATGTCCTCTGTGGATGCGGCGAGGGCCGTTCAACGCCGCTTGTGGTTTTAATTGTGTTTCTTGTTTCTTGCAGACGACCTGTTCTTATCGCTTGACTTCGGTTTGATTTACGAAGAGTTAAACTTCACATATAACATGTCAGGCTTCGTCCCGGACCCCGCCACGCTGCAGTGTGCGCACCTCACCGTGTCAGACGCCGCCACAGTCGTCCTCACCGTCTTCTACGCGCTGGTGTTCGCTGTGGCGCTGCCCGGGAACCTGTGTGTGTGCGCAGTGCTGGTGCGCGGTCGTCAGCCCCTCCCCCTTCAGCCCCTCCCCCCTCATCCCGTCTCCCCTCGGCTCCTCCTCCCTCAGCCCCTCCCTCCCTCAGACCTATTCCTGTTGCACCTGGCGCTGGCCGACCTGCTGCTTGCCGCCACGCTGCCGTTCTGGGCCGTGTCGCTGTGGCGTGGCTGGGTGTTTGGGGACGTGCTGTGTAAGACGGTGAGCACGCTGCAGGAGCTGAGCTTCTACAGCAGCGTCCTGTTCCTGAGCGTCATCAGCGTCGACCGTTACCTGGTGATTGTGCGCAGCGTGCAGACGCGGCGCGGCCGCAGAGCGCTGAGCCGTATGGCGTGCGCGGCGGTGTGGGCGCTGGGCGCGCTGCTGTCGCTGCCCGCGCTCCTCAGCGCCGCGTCCCAGACTCAGGGCTCTGTCAGCGTGTGCCGCGAGCACTACGACCCCCGCAGCGCCGACATGTGGCGCCTGGCGACCCGCACGCTGCGCCACGCTCTGGGCTTCCTGCTGCCGTTAGCCATGATGCTAACGTGTTACGGCGTGACGGTGCGGCGCCTGTTGCAGATGCGCCGGGGCTTCCAGAAGCACAGGGCCATGCGGCTGCTGGTGTGTGTGGTGCTGGGCTTCCTGCTCTGCTGGTCACCGTACCATGTGGCGCTGATGGTGGACACACTGCTGCGTGCGCGGCTGCTGCTGCACGACTGCGGCGTGAGGCTGAGCGTGGACCGCGCTGTGTTAGCGACGCACGCCATGGGGCTGCTGCACAGCGCCATCAACCCGCTGCTCTACGCCTTCGTGGGACAGAATTTCAGAAGCCGCTGTGCACAGCTGATGCGTCACTGCGGCGCGAGGACTGTAACCTCACGCTCGAGTCGCAGCTCTGTGTCCGAGGTCACCGCCAACTGACAGAGGTCAGAGGTCACAGCCAACTTAGTGACACAGATACGGACTAAAGGAGGAGACCCCACAAAGTCACGCACAGCTGCTTTAATATCCTCTAAATGTGGACGTATTTGTATTCATAAGGGTGACAGTGGAAACGAGCGTCTGGTCTCTTCTCTGGTCTCTCTGGCCTCTCTCTGGTCTCTCTCTGGTCTCTCTCTGGTCTCTCTCTGGTCTCTCTCTGGTCTCTCTCGGCTCTCTCTGGTCTCTCTCTGGTCTCTCTCTGGCCTCTCTCTGGTCTCTCTCTGGTCTCTCTCTGGTCTCTCTCTGGCCTCTCTCTGGTCTCTCTCTGGTCTCTCTCTGGTCTCTCTCTGGTCTCTCTCTGGCCTCTCTCTGGTCTCTCTCTGGTCTCTCTCTGGTCTCTCTCTGGCCTCCTCTCTCTGGTCTCTCTCTCTTCTCTCTTGGTCTCTCTCTGGTCTCTCTCTCTGGTCTCTCTCTGGCTCTCTCTCTGGTCTCTCTCTGCTGGCTCTCTCTGGTCTCTCTCCGGTCTCTCTCTGGTCTCTCTCTGGTCTCTCTCTCTGGTCTCTCTCTCGGCTCTCTCGGCTCTCTCTGGTCTCTCTCTCTGGTCTCTCTCTGGTCTCTCTCTGGTCTCTCTCTCTGGTCTCTCTCTGGTCTCCCTCTCTGGTCTCTCTCTCTGGTCTCTCTCTGGTCTCTCTCTGGTCTATCTCTGGTCTCAGTGCCCACCTAGAGGACAGCTGCAGTACTGCAGCCTAGATAATCTGCTTGAAGTTGTATTTCAGTATGATGTGTATGTGGCTGAGAGGTGGGATCATTTCTTTAACCACTTTGAGAAATCCAAGATGGCTGACGGCGACACAGAGCTTGTATTTGCTGCAAAACCTTGTTTCCTTGGACAATATTTGTCCGTTTGTATTGTGTTTGTGAATATGTAGATCTGTGAATGTTTAGAGAGTCATGTTAATATATTTTATGTTTGAACTCCAGCACGGTGTTAGCTTGTCATTAGCTTAATATTAGCTTGTTATCAGCAGTTAGTAGCTCATGCTACTTTTTTACTGTTGGTCTAAAGAAGACGATAATTGTTGGAGCCTTTCTACAATAAATCAGAGAAAATAAATAAAGTCTGTTTATTGGAATGCATGTGTGTGTGTGTGTGTGAGCCACATCTGAAACAGGAGTGGACCCAGTGTAGACCCCTGTGGGACCCCACATGCATTACAACGAAAGTATTCTCTTCTGCTTCTGTTTCTATCCTCTCCTCCCCTTCTCTCCCTTCCTCTCTCTCCCTTCCTCTCCTCCCCTTCTCTCTCTTCCTCTCTCTCATTCCTCGCCTCCACTCTTCCTCTCTCTTCCCCCCTCCTCTCATGATCTCCTGTCTCTCTCCTCTTTCTTTTTCCTCTCCCCCTCCCTCCCCATCCCCTCTGTCTCCCGCCATTTGCCCCTCTCTCTCTCCCTGTCCTTTCCCTTCTTCTACTCTCCTCTCTCTCTTTTATTCTCTCTCTCCCCCCCTCACCTCCCTCCCCTCTGTGCCCTCTCCTCAGCACATGTGACCTCTCTGGGCTAAAAGTGTCCCTCTTGGGGAGTGTCTGAAGTCTGGGGGGGGGGGAGCAGCTGTCATGAAGCCCAGAGTCTGCTGTCATTTCCCCCTTCGGAGCGTCCGTCCCTCTCCCGAGCTCCAGGGCCCAAACCACGACCCAAACCTGGACCCAAACCTGGACCCAAACCTGGACCTGACTCCCCCTGACTCCCCCTGGTTTCTGCACTCGGTGAAGGATTAACTGGAGACATTTGGATTATTTTATCGGATTAATCGACCAGTGACACGTTAGAAGCTGGAACCAACGCAACATGATCCTCCTCGGCTAAAAATACTGCAGCTTCGGACGCGAGGAACGACTTGATGAAGTAAGAGACGTTTTGTCCCAAAGTTCGAAGCTTTCGCAGGATTTAAACTCAAAACTTGAGGCTGGTGTTGGAGGAGTTTAGTTTTATAGAGTTGTGTGAAAGTGAGAAGTTACAATAGTTACTAAAGCGACTGTTTCAAGCCGTTTGATCCTTTGAACTCTCTCTGGTCTCACTCTAGTCATATTCTGGTTTCTCTCATCACTTTTTGATCCCTCTTTAGTCTCTCTCTCTGGTTTATCTCTTGTCTTTCTTTAGCCTTTCTCTCTATTCTCTCTGGTTTCACTCTGGTCTCTCCCTGGTCTCTCTCTCTGGTCTCTCTTTCTGGTCTCTCTTTCTGGTGTCTCACCCTTGCCTCTTTAGTCTCCCTCTCTGTTCCTTCTCAGTTCTCTCTCTCTGGTCTCTCTCTGGTCTCTCTCTGGTCTCTCTCTGGTCTCTCTCTGGTCTCTCTCTCTGGTCTCTCTCTGGTCTCTCTCTGGTCTCTCTCTGGTCTCTCTCTGGTCTCTCTCTGGTCTCTCTCTGGTCTCTCTCTCTGGTCTCTCTCTGGTCTCTCTCTGGTCTCTCTCTGGTCTCTCTCTGGTCTCTCCCTGGTCTCTCTCTCTGGTCTCTCTCTCTGGTCTCTCTCTGGTCTCTCCCTGGTCTCTCTCTCTGGTCTCTCTCTGGTCTCTCTCTGGTCTCTCCCTGGTCTCTCTCTCTGGTCTCTCTCTCTGGTCTCTCTTTCTGGTGTCTCACCCTTGCCTCTTTAGTCTCCCTCTCTGTTCCTTCTCAGTTCTCTCTCTCTGGTCTCTCTCTGGTCTCTCTCTGGTCTCTCTCTGGTCTCTCTCTCTGGTCTCTCTCTGGTCTCTCTCTGGTCTCTCTCTGGTCTCTCTCTGGTCTCTCCCTGGTCTCTCTCTCTGGTCTCTCTCTCTGGTCTCTCTCTGGTCTCTCCCTGGTCTCTCTCTCTGGTCTCTCTCTGGTCTCTCTCTGGTCTCTCCCTGGTCTCTCTCTCTGGTCTCTCTCTCTGGTCTCTCCCTGGTCTCTCTCTCTGGTCTCTCTCTGGTCTCTCCCTGGTCTCTCTCTCTGGTCTCTCTCTGGTCTCTCCCTGGTCTCTCTCTCTGGTCTCTCTCTGGTCTCTCTCTGGTCTCTCCCTGGTCTCTCTCTCTGGTCTCTCTCTCTGGTCTCTCTCTGGTCTCTCCCTGGTCTCTCTCTCTGGTCTCTCTCTGGTCTCTCTCTGGTCTCTCCCTGGTCTCTCTCTCTGGTCTCTCTCTCTGGTCTCTCCCTGGTCTCTCTCTCTGGTCTCTCTCTGGTCTCTCTCTGGTCTCTCCCTGGTCTCTCTCTCTGGTCTCTCTCTGGTCTCTCCCTGGTCTCTCTCTCTGGTCTCTCTCTGGTCTCTCTCTGGTCTCTCCCTGGTCTCTCTCTCTGGTCTCTCTCTCTGGTCTCTCTCTGGTCTCTCCCTGGTCTCTCTCTCTGGTCTCAATGGAAACTAGGTGACTTAACCTAGAGCAATCTGATCCTTGAGTTTTAATCTATAAATACCTGTGCTCTCAGGACTCGCTGCTGCTTTAGTGATTAATAATATGATTTAAGACGAGTTTTGGTCGTTGGACACATTTGGTTCATTCAAAAGCACCAATAGTCAGCCATCTTTGTGTTGTATGGTCTGGAGAAACTCTCTGGTCTAATTCAGGTGTCACTCTGGTCTCTTTCAGGTCTCTCGCTGGTCTCTCTCTAGTCTCTCTCTGGTCTCTTTCAGGTTTCTCACTGGTCTCTCTCTCTCTGGTCTCGCTCTGGTCTCGCTCTGGTCTCGCTCTGGTCTCTTTCAGGTCTCTTTCAGGTCTTTCTTTCTGATCTCACTTGCTGGTTTTATTATACAACCAATGATATTTGGAGTGAGAGATGACCAGACGTGACTGAAACACTCTCACCTGGTGCTAACCTGATCCAACTGATGGTACACAGGTCTAAAGAACGCAGTGTGTCGGACCACAACATCACAGAGGATCCATCAGAGTGAAAGAGTTTAAGACAGAAGCCCTGATGCCTGAGCCCGGGACCTCTGTCCAGATGTTGATGCTCTTGGTCAGGACTAGAGCCAGAGGATTTTTCCGATTGTACATGTTTTTAGTGGTAGGGGAAACCGGAGCACCCGGAGGAAACTTATGCAGGCGTGGGGAGAACATGCAAACTCCACTCAGAAAAACCCTTTTTTGACCAGTATTCAAACCTTCAACCTTCTTGTTAAGAAGCGAGAGTGCTCACCACTCAGCCACTGGTTTGTCTATGGTCTGTGGTCTCTCTCTGGTTTAGTGGTAGGGGAACAGGAGCAGCCGGAGGAAACCCACACAGGAGAAGATACAGTGACAGTATCTCAGTTGTAGAGTGTGTGTCTCTGAGCGCAGGTGTGAAACCAGCTCCCACTGGTGACTGCTGCTATGTGTCCTTGGGCAAGACACTGGAGGTTTATGTCCACTGTGATTAATGTAACTGTAACTACTGCAGCCTCTTTCCCACGGAGCAAGCGCTCAGGTCTCTGCCTCTCACACGGAGGACACGGGCGGCTGTGTCAGAGCGACACCTTTAACCCGCCTCAGGACCCAGTCTTATTGAGGATTTAGACCCAATGAAAGGTTTTCTCTGCTCCTGCTCACATGAGGCTCAGAGGAAGAAGGTTCAAACACTACACACACCAGGGACAATAAAGTTTATGACGGCGTAACGAGCCGCGGAGCTGTGTTTAGGTGAATGAAGCTCTCACCTCAGAGTTTGGACTGTTGCATGCTCTGCTCTTTCCTTCAGAAAGTGGAAATATGTTTGAAAATATCTCTTGTTCCATGTGGAAGAGGAACATGCTGTAGTCTGTTATAATGGGTCTCTCTCTCTGGTTTTTCTCTCTCTCTCCTCTCTCTCTGGTTTCTCTCTCTCTTTGGTCTCTCTCTGTTATGACTCATCCCTCTCTTCTCTCTGCAGGATATCTCTCTGACCTTTGACCTCTGTCATGAGGAAAGCCGAGGTGCAGATGACCCTGAAGAAGGGGCCCCCAGAGGAGGCCACAGCGCCCCCTAGTCCTCTGGTGCCTCCCAAACGCTCTAAAGCCGAGCACAGTCCTGGTGCCAGCGCTCCGGTCTTCACACGCAAGATGAGGAACGCCGCGGTGGGAACGGGCTGCGACATCCGCCTCAAGGTGAGACCAGAACCTCACAAACACCAGTAAAACCATGAAGCAGGAGGGCTCACACTCATTGTCTCTGGAGGAAGCTGAGCCACATCAAGGGTTATGTTTAACACATGTTTGTGTTAAGACGGGCCACACCTGCAGGTGAAAGCCAGATCCCATCAGACATCTGAAGCTAAGCAGGGTAGACCTGGTTAATACTGTGATGGGAGACCTCTGGGAACACCAGGTGCCACAGTGGGGCGGCTGCGGGTGAAAAGTGCCAAACTGTGGTTGTGTCCTTAGGCAAGACACTTCACCCACATTAGAATGAGTCTGGTGTGTGTGTGAATGGTTGGTGGTGGTGGCATCCACAGACTGGTTGCCTCGCTTCTGTCAGTGTGCCCCAGGGCAGCTGAGGCTACAGTAGTTTATCACCGCTGTGTATGGAGTGAATGAATAATGTGAAGAGACTTTGAGTGTCCTGAAAAGTGCTGTACAAAAAGATAATTTTTTATTATAGAATCAATCAGTCATTTTTCCATTGTGAGTAACAGGAAGCCACAAACCAGGAAGTAAAAGAAAGTAAAATAGATTAGTATTATTATTATTATTATTATTATTGTTTTTTTTCCTTCAAAATTGTATTATTTCCAATTTACAACAATCGTCAAAGACGAGACATCTGAAAATAGAGAGAACATCAAAACAACAAAATACAATATATACAATAAAATTACATTAATAAACCAAAAAAGTTCATCCAGTTGGTGTCAGAGGGTTTAGGGTTACATTACATACAGCAGTGAGTTCATTACAGCAGTGAGTTCATTACAGCAGTGAGTTCATTACAGCAGTGAGTTCATTACAGCAGTGAGTTCAATACAGCAGTGAGTTCATTACAGCAGTGAGTTCAATACATACAGCAGTGAGTTCATTACATACAGCAGTGAGTTTATTACAGCAGTGAGTTCATTACATACAGCAGTGAGTTCATTACAGCAGTGAGTTCATTACATACAGCAGTGAGTTCATTACAGCAGTGAGTTCAATACAGCAGTGAGTTCATTACAGCAGTGAGTTCATTACATACAGCAGCACGGTGGCTGAGTGGATAGCACTCTCGCCTCTCAGCAAGAAGGTCCTGGGTTCGAATCCCGGTCGGACCAGGGCCTTTCTGAGTGGAGTTTGCATGTTCTCCCCGTGTCTGCGTAGGTTTCCTCCGGGTACTCCGGTACTACCACTAAAAATATGTCCAATAGTTCTGGCATGCGCCTCCTGTACTGGCCCCTCCCATCTCTGTGAGGAGTGAGAGACTAATGCCCAAAAATAACAATTGTAAACCGCTTTGAGACTCAGCTCTGCAGTGAAAAGGCGGTATATAAATAAAAACTTACTTACTTACTTACTTACAGTGAGTTCATTACAGCAGTGAGTTCATTACAGCAGTGAGTTCATTACAGCAGTGAGTTCATTACATACAGCAGTGAGTTCATTACAGCAGTGAGTTCATTACATACAGCAGTGAGTTCATTACAGCAGTGAGTTCATTACATACAGCAGTGAGTTCATTACAGCAGTGAGTTCATTACATACAGCAGTGAGTTCATTACAGCAGTGAGTTCAATACAGCAGTGAGTTCATTACAGCAGTGAGTTCATTACAGCAGTGAGTTCATTACATACAGCAGTGAGTTCATTACAGCAGTGAGATCATTACAGCAGTGAATTCAATACAGCAGTGAGTTCATTACAGCAGTGAGTTCATTACATACAGCAGTGAGTTCATTACAGCAGTGAGTTCATTACAGCAGTGAGTTCATTACATACAGCAGTGAGTTCATTACAGCAGTGAGTTCATTACAGCAGTGAGTTCATTACAGCAGTGAGTTCATTACAGCAGTGAGTTCATTACAGCAGTGAGTTCATTACAGCAGTGAGTTCAATACAGCAGTGAGTTCATTACAGCAGTGAGTTCATTACATACAGCAGCGAGTTCATTACAGCAGTGAGTTCATTACATACAGCAGTGAGTTTATTACAGCAGTGAGTTCATTACATACAGCAGTGAGTTCATTACATACAGCAGTGAGTTCATTACAGCAGTGAGTTCATTACGTACAGCAGTGAGTTCATTACAGCAGTGAGTTCATTACATACAGCAGTGATTTCATTACATACAGCAGTGAGTTCATTACAGCAGTGAGTTCATTACATACAGCAGTGAGTTCATTACAGCAGTGAGTTCATTACATACAGCAGTGAGTTCATTACAGCAGTGAGTTCATTACATACAGCAGTGAGTTCAATACATACAGCAGTGAGTTCATTACAGCAGTGAGTTCATTACAGCAGTGAGTTCATTACATACAGCAGTGAGTTCAATACAGCAGTGAGTTCATTACAGCAGTGAGTTCATTACATACAGCAGTGAGTTCATTACAGCAGTGAGTTCATTACATACAGCAGTGAGTTCAATACATACAGCAGTGAGTTCATTACAGCAGTGAGTTCAATACAGCAGTGAGTTCATTACATACAGCAGTGAGTTCATTACAGCAGTGAGTTCATTACAGCAGTGAGTTCAATACAGCAGTGATACAGCAGTGATTTCATTACAGCAGTGAGTTCATTACATACAGCAGTGAGTTCAATACAGCAGTGAGTTCATTACAGCAGTGAGTTCATTACATACAGCAGTGAGTTCATTACAGCAGTGAGTTCATTACAGCAGTGAGTTCATTACATATGAGTTCATTACATACAGCAGTGAGTTCATTACAGCAGTGAGTTCATTACATACAGCAGTGAGTTCAATACAGCAGTGAGTTCATTACATATTTTTTACATCACTTTAAAATAGGGGGAAATACAACTGTGCTTTCAACATTTTTGCTTGTGAATAAAACATTTACCAAACAGAATGAAAATTGTAACTACATAGTTCAATGATTTCGTAGTCGTGTTAGCTGCAAAATAACAGATAATATCTTTACATGTAAAACAATGGCTCTTTGGACAAGTGCTCGAGAGTTTCTTCCTGTGTTTGCCAGAATGTACAGTTTTTATTAACATCTGCAAACCTTGAGACGACCGAGTTGATAGGTAACCCTAACCCTAAAATAGAATAATAGTATTATTAGTGGACTGGTATACTGTGTGTGACATCACCAGAGTGTTAGCCTTAATGCAGAAGACGCTTCAGATTTGAACAAAATCTGGAGCCAGTTTCTGTTGTTCTGACAGTGTTTCTGGAGTCACAGACAGTGAGAAAGGAGTCAAACTTCACTATGAGCACTTCTTTGAGCTAGTGGGTGAGCTTTGAGTTAGCAGGTTAGTATTGAGCTAACATGTTAACATTATCCATTATTATTCAGGCTAGGGTTTTATCTTAATGGTCTACAGTTATTATGACAGATCCATTGAGCACTTCTACACCATTTTGTATGAGAGGATAAAAAACTGTTCATCAAGTTCACTGTTACTTCCTCCTGTGAGTGTAACGCTAGCTAACAGCTAACCGCTAACAGCTAACAGCTAACCGCTAACTGCTAACAGCTAACCGCTAACAGCTAACAGCTAACAGCTAACCGCTAACAGCTAACAGCTAACCGCTAACTGCTAACAGCTAACTGCTAACCGTTAACTGCTAACAGCTAACCGTTAACAGTCGCTGATACATGACGAGAAAGCCTCTGTGTGGGTGCAGTTTGCTGGCTCTGTGAAAACTGTTAAACTGGGGAAAAGCATCTTACAATCTCATTGTGAAGAATAAACACGGCTAATACAAAGTAAGTAACATACAATTGATAGAAAACCTAAAAAACGGCCTTATTTTCGAGCGATTAGCACGATGCTAATATATATGGGAAATCCCATAAGGATGCTAACGTTATTAGCGCCTAACGTTTTTATTATAACTTACTGTATTAATAACTGAAATATGGAAGTAAAGATTGTTTTCATTCACACACTTCAGACAGATGTTTCTGTCAGTGCTAAATCACATCTAACTGGCTTAAAACGTTCTTGGCCTCCTGCTGTGAATCTGAGGAGCACAGGGACTGGCCTCCTGCTGAGACTCTGAGGAGCACAGGGACTGGCCTCCTGCTGGGACTCTGAGGAGCACAGGGACTGGCCTCCTGCTGAGACTCTGAGGAGCACAGGGACTGGCCTCCTGCTGGGACTCTGAGGAGCACAGGGACTGGCCTCCTGCTGAGACTCTGAGGAGCACAGGGACTGGCCTCCTGCTGGGACTCTGAGGAGCACAGGGACTGGCCTCCTGCTGGGACTCTGAGGAGCACAGGGACTGGCCTCCTGCTGGGACTCTGAGGAGCACAGGGACTGGCCTCCTGCTGAGACTCTGAGGAGCACAGGGACTGGCCTCCTGCTGGGACTCTGAGGAGCACAGGGACTGGCCTCCTGCTGGGACTCTGAGGAGCACAGGGACTGGCCTCCTGCTGAGACTCTGAGGAGCACAGGGACTGGCCTCCTGCTGGGACTCTGAGGAGCACAGGGACTGGCCTCCTGCTGAGACTCTGAGGAGCACAGGGACTGGCCTCCTGCTGGGACTCTGAGGAGCACAGGGACTGGCCTCCTGCTGAGACTCTGAGGAGCACAGGGACTGGCCCCCTGCTGGGACTCTGAGGAGCACAGGGACTGGCCTCCTGCTGGGACTCTGAGGAGCACAGGGACTGGCCCCCTGCTGGGACTCTGAGGAGCACAGGGACTGGCCTCCTGCTGGGACTCTGAGGAGCACAGGGACTGGCCTCCTGCTGAGACTCTGAGGAGCACAGGGACTGGCCTCCGGCTGAGACTCTGAGGAGCACAGGGACTGGCCTCCGGCTGGGACTCTGAGGAGCACAGGGACTGGCCTCCTGCTGGGACTCTGAGGAGCACAGGGACTGGTCTCCTGCTGGGGCTCTGAGGAGCACAGGGACTGGCCTCCTGCTGGGACTCTGAGGAGCACAGGGACTGGCCTCCTGCTGGGACTCTGAGGAGCACAGGTACTGGCCTCCTGCTGGGACTCTGAGGAGCACAGGGACTGGCCTCCTGCTTCTCTGACGATTTTTAAACCCAGGTTAAAAACAGTTCTGTTTAGCTGCAACAACTGAAGGATTGTATCTTCACTCTTTTTAATGTCCTGTGAATGTTTTTGATTTTAATGCCTCGTGTGTCTCAATCTTGTTTTGTTCCGCATTTTCAGTTGCCTTGTGTATGAGTTGTTATGTACAAATAAACTTGCCTTGCCTCAAACGCAGGAGACTGATTTCAAAGTCATAAATGCCTCTGTTGTGGTGCTGCCTAAAACCGTCTGTAAACCCTGTGGTACTGCAGCCTAAACCCACATGGACTAGAGGCCACCCGCGGTACTGCAGCCTAAACCCACATGGACTAGAGGCCACCTGCAGTACTGCAGCCTAAATCCACATGGACTAGAGGACACCTGCAGTACTGCAGCCTAAATCCACATGGACTAGAGGCCACCTGCAGTACTGCAGCCTAAATCCACATGGACTAGAGGCCACCTGCAGTACTGCAGCCTAAATCCACATGGAGGGAGAGGCGAGCCCATGTTTATAATGGTTGTGTGCGTTCCTGTAGGTGTGTGTGAGCGGGGACCCTCAGCCCTCCCTGTACTGGTATCATAATGAGGACCTGTTGGACATGGAGAACCAGGAGTACGGAGGTTTGTGGATCCGGGACTGCAAACCCACTGACGCTGGACTCTATACCTGCATCGCCAACAACCACCAGGGGGAGGCGAGGAGCAGCGCCGTGCTGGCTGTGTTGGACCTGGGGGAAGGTAAGGGGCTGGCTGTGGACTGGGACTGAGACCAGGACTGAGACCAGGACTGAGACCAGGACTGAGACCAGGACTGAGACCAGGACTGAGACCAGGACTGAGACCAGGACTGAGACCAGGACTGAGACCAGGACTGAGACCAGGGCTGAGACCAGGGCTGGGACTAGGGGCAGGTTAGAGGCTGGCTGTGGACTGGGACTGGAGCTGTTACCCTATTAAACTCGGCCTCTGCTTTCGTCCTGAGTCTGGACCTGTTATAAACCTAAACTAAATTGACCTTGAGTCCACATAAATCAGAGGCCAAAACTACTGCCCCTTAGACACTTGTTTGTGTTCAGGTCTCCCTCTGCTGTCTCCCTCTGCTGTCTCCCTCTGCTGGCCCTGTCTCCCTCTGCTGTCTCCCTCTGCTGGCCCCCTCTGCTGTCTCCCTCTGCTGTCTCCCTCTGCTGGCCCCCTCTGCTGTCTCCCTCTGCTGGCCCTGTCTCCCTCTGATGTCTCCCTCTGCTGTCCCTGTCTCCCTCTGATGTCTCCCTCTGATGTCTCCCTCTGCTGTCTCCCTCTGCTGTCTCCCTCTGCTGTCCCCCTCTGCTGGCCCCCTCTGCTGCCCCCCTCTCGCTGTGAGGTACCTCTCTTATCTGTGAGTGTGAACATGAGTCTGACAGAGAACAGAAATTATGAAGCTCTACTCTACTCTACCCTACCTTACTCTACTCTACACTACCCTACTATACTCTATCCTATCCTATCCTACTCTACTCTACCCTACTCTACCCTATTTTACTCTACTCTACTCTACTCCACCCTACTCTGCCCTACCCTACTCTACTCTACTCTACCCTTCTCTACTCTACTCTACCCTACTCTACTATATTCTACTCTTCTCTATTCTACTCTACTATATGCTGCTCTACTCTACTGTACTCTACGCTCTATTCTACTCTACTCTAATCTACCCTACCCCACTCTACGCTCTACTCTACCCTACTCTACGCTCTACTCTACCCTACCCTACTCTATTCTACCCTACTCTACCCTACCCTACGCTCTAATCTACTCCACTCTACTCTACCCTACCCTACTCTACTCTACTCTACTCTACCCTACCCCACTCTACGCTCTACTCTACTCTACTCTACTCTACGCTCTACTCTACTCTACCCTATTCTACTCTACTCTACACTCTACTCTACCCTACTCTACTCTACCCTACTCTACTCTACGCTCTACTCTAATCTACTCCACTCTACCCTACTCTACTCTACCCTACTCTACTCCACTCTACCCTACCCTACTCTACTCTACGCTCTACACTACTCTACCCTACTCTATTCTACTGTACCCTACCCCTCTCTACGCTCTACTCTACTCCACCCTACCCTACTCTACTCTACGCTCTACTCTACTCTACTCTACTCTCCCCTACTCTATTCTACTCTACTCTACCCTACTCTACTCTACGCTCTACTCTACTCTACTCTACTCTACCCTACTCTACCCTACCCTACTCTATTCTACTCTACTCTACTCTGCTCTACCCTACCATACTCTACTCTACTCTACTCTAATCTACTCTACTCTACTCTAATCTACCCTACCCTACTCTACTCTACCCTACCCTACCCTACCCTACTCTACTCTACGCTCTACTCTACTCTACTCTACCCTACCCTACTCTACTCTACCCTCCCCTACTCTATTCTACTCTACTCTACCCTACCCTACTCTACTCTACGCTCTACTCTACTCTACCTACTCTACCCTACCCTACTCTATTCTACTCTACCCTACTCTACTCTATGCTCTACTCTACTCTATGCTCTACTCTAATCTACTCTACCCTACCCTACCCTACTCTCCTCTACTCTACCCTACCCTACTCTACTCTACGCTCTACTCTACTCTAATCTACTCTACTCTATCCTACTCTACTCTACCCTACTCTACGCTCTACTCTACTCTACCCTACCCTACTCTACGCTCTACTCTACTCTACCCTACTCTATTCTACTCTGCCCTACCCCACTCTACGCTCTACTCTACTCTACTCTACCCTACCCTACTCAACTCTACGCTCTACTCTACTCTACCCTACCCTACCCTACTCTATTCTACTCTACTCTACCCTACTCTACTCTACGTTCTACTCTACTCTACCCTACCCTACTCTACTCTACTCTACCCTCTACTCTACTCTACCCTACCCTACCTTACTCTATTCTACTCTACTCTCCTCTCTACTCTACTCTACCCTACTCTATTCTACTCTACCCTACTGTACTCTACCCTACCCTACTCTGATCTACCCTACCCTAAGATAAGATAAGATAAGATGTACTTTATTAATCTCACACAGGAGAAATTTACATGTCATGTTTGGTAAGGATAGAAACACTCAAGATTGTGCAAAAAGTAAGAAATGTGCAAACAGGACTTGACATTATGTACAAAAGTGGCAATTAGAAGAAGTGTCAATAGTAGTGCAATGTGGGGAAATGTGGTTTACTCTGTGGTCTCTCTCTGGGGTCTCTCTGTGGTCTCTCTGTGGTCTCTCTCTGGTCTCTCTCTCTGCTCTCTGTGATGAAGAGGGAGCTTCTGCCATCAGAACTGTATCCGACACTTGTAAAGAGGAGCAGCGTCTGCCATCAGAGTAGGGCTGCAACTAACGATTATTTTGATCATCGATTAATCAGGCGATTATTTTTACGACTAATCGATTAATCGGTTTATGTACTTATATTATAGTTTAGCCAATTTTTTTCCAAGTAAATTGTTAACAAAGGGCCTTCATCATTCAACATAGACTTTTTAGAGATTTTAACCATTTTACATATTCATATCCACATCAAAAACATATCTGGAGCTGTTTATTATGTCTTTGTAATCCTTTGTTGAACTCAATGTCGACCATCAAAACAAAACACTGACCGTTACATACTCTAGCAAATTTCACAAGGAGATTTCCAATAATGTTTTCACCCTGAAAATCCTTAGGGCTTCTGAAGTAGTTTAAAATCCCGAACAAGGCTTATTTAAGTTGATAAACTGGATAAATGTTTTTTTTTTTTTTTACATCTTTGTGCAAATTAGTTGAAAGATCAACTTTATGCCTAAAACAGTGAGTGTGGCGCCATCTTTTGCAAACAGTCAGTACTGCAGAGAGATGGTTTAAGGTGCTCACGCAGAGACGTAGTACTCCCGTGCCAGGCCAAGTCAGTAGCGCAGAGTTTACAGGTTACTCTTCTTTTTTGAAGGTTCAAAGTAAAGTGCTCCCACACTTTGGATGACTTCGTTCGATTAGGTTTGTCTTCTGATTTTTTCCTTTTCTTTCTCGAGCTTACTCCACTGCCGCTTGCCTCCGCCATCTTGCTGTATGATGAAGAGGAGCTGTGCGCGAAGCATGTGACATAAAAGGAGGCCAGCTATTGGCTATTCGCTACTTCTCCTGCTGTAAAACCTCCGGTGGCTCATTACTGCCACCATTTGGTCACCGCAGAGTTAAAATATGCACGAAATGAGCCGCTTACGGCAAAATAAAAGTTATCTAGCAACTAATCGATGACTAAATTAGTTGACAACTATTTTAATAATCGATTTTAATCGATTAAATCGATTAGTTGTTTCAGCTCTACATCAGAGCTCTAGTCCCCTCCCTCACCTGGTCATGATCTTTGGGTAGGGCTGGGCTCGAAATCTCGATTTTATTTACTGCTTTGGACGATGTCGATTTTCATTAAAGTCACTCAAGACAGACTTTGCCCTTAAAATATTTTTTATCTTCCCGCTCAATATTTAAGTTTCAAAAATACTTTTTATTTGTTTCCCCCAATACATAATATTAAAGTCTTGTACAGACTGTGCTGCTATTGCAAGTATAATTGATGTGCTGCTGGAACTCTCACAATATCCCTCATTCGATTCGTGGTGAGTGACGGAGCAGCTGTGGATTCTGCAGAGTCATGGGTCCCAGTCCAGCCCCTCACGGGTTAAACATGTCCTCACTACAGTTTATACAGGACTCTATGAACAAAACTCTTCTCACGTGTGTTTGTATTCCCCCTGGTGGAAGCAAAGACAGTTACAGGGGAAATGTGGTTTACTCTGTGGTCTCTCTCTGGTCTCTCTGTGGTCTCTCTGTGGTCTCTCTGTGGTCTCTCTCTGGTCTCTCTGTGGTCTCTCTCTGGTCTCTCTCTGATCTCTCTCTGGTCTCTCTGATCTCTCTCTGGTCTCTCTAGTCTCTCTCTGGTCTCTCTCTCTGATCTGTCTCTGGTCTCTCTCTGGTCTCTCTCTGGTCTCTCTCTCTGGTCTCTCTCTCTGGTCTCTCTCTCTGGTCTCTCTCTACTCTCTCTCTGGTCTCTCTCTGATCTCTCTCTGGTCTCTCTGATCTCTCTGGTCTCTCTAGTCTCTCTCTGGTCTCTCTCTCTGATCTGTCTCTGGTCTCTCTCTGGTCTCTCTCTGGTCTCTCTCTGGTCTCTCTCTCTAGTCTCTCTCTGGTCTCTCTCTGGTCTCTCTGTGGTCTCTCTCTGGTCTCTCTGTGGTCTCTCTCTGGTCTCTCTGTGGTCTCTCTCTGGTCTCTCTCTGGTATCTCTCTCTGGTCTCTCTCTAGTCTCTCTCTGGTCTCTCTCTGGTCTCTCTCTAGTCTCTCTCTAGTCTCTCTCTGGTCTCTCTGTGGTCTCTCTCTGTCTCTCTCTAGTCTCTCTCTGGTCTCTCTCTGGTCTTTCTCTGGTCTCTCTCTAGTCTCTCTCTGGTCTCTCTCTGGTCTCTCTCTGGTCTCTCTGTGGTCTCTCTCTGGGCTCTCTCTAGTCACTCTCTGGTCTCTGTGGTCTCTCTAGTCTCTCTCTGGTCTCTCTCTGGTCTCTCTGTGGTCTCTCGCTAGTCTCTCTCTCTGGTCTCTCTCTGGTGTCTTTGTGGTCTCTTTCTAGTCTCTCTGTGGTCTCTCTGTGGTCTCTCTCTGGTCTCTCTCTGGTCTCTCTCTGATCTCTCTCTGGTCTCTCTGATCTCTCTCTGGTCTCTCTAGTCTCTCTCTGGTCTCTCTAGTCTCTCTCTGATCTCTCTCTCTGATCTGTCTCTGGTCTCTCTCTGGTCTCTCTCTCTGGTCTCTCTCTACTCTCTCTCTGGTCTCTCTCTGGTCTCTCTCTGATCTCTCTCTGGTCTCTCTGATCTCTCTCTGGTCTCTCTCTGGTCTCTCTCTCTAGTCTCTCTCTAGTCTCTCTCTGGTCTCTCTGTGGTCTCTCTGTGGTCTCTCTGTGGTCTCTCTGTGGTCTCTCTCTGGTCTCTCTCTGGTCTCTCTGTGGTCTCTCTCTGGTCTCTCTCTGGTCTCTCTCTGGTATCTCTCTCTGGTCTCTCTCTAGTCTCTCTCTGGTCTCTCTGTGGTCTCTCTGTGGTCTCTCTCTGATCTCTCTCTAGTCTCTCTGGTCTCTCTCTGGTCTTTCTCTGGTCTCTCTCTAGTCTCTCTCTGGTCTCTCTCTGGTCTCTCTCTGGTCTCTCTGTGGTCTCTCTCTGGGCTCTCTCTAGTCACTCTCTGGTCTCTCTGTGGTCTCTCTCTAGTCTCTCTCTGGTCTCTTTCTGGTCTCTCTCTGGTCTCTCTGTGGTCTCTCACTAGTCTCTCTCTCTGGTCTCTCTCTGGTGTCTTTGTGGTCTCTTTCTAGTCTCTCTCTGGTCTCTCTCTGGTCTCTCTGTGGTCTCTCTCTGGTCTCTCTCTGGTCTCTCTCTCTGGTCTCTCTGGTCTCTCTCTCTAGTCTCTCTCTGGTCTCTCTCTGGTCTTTTTCTGGTCTCTCTCTAGTCTCTCTCTGGTCTCTCTCTGGTCTCTCTTTAGTCTCTCTCTGGTCTCTCTCTGGGCTCTCTCTAGTCACTCTCTGGTCTCTCTGTGGTCTCTCTCTCGTCTCTCTCTGGTCTCTCTCTGGTCTCTCTGTGGTCTCTCGCTAGTCTCTCTCTCTGGTCTCTCTCTGGTGTCTTTGTCGTCTCTTTCTAGTCTCTCTCTGGTCTCTCTGTGGTCTCTCTCTGGTCTCTCTCTAGTCTCTCTCTCTGGTCTCTTTCTGGTCTCTTTTTGGTCTCTCTCTAGTCTCTCTCTGGTCTCTCTCTGGTCTCTCTCTGGGCTCTCTCTAGTCACTCTCTGGTCTCTCTGTGGTCTCTCTCTCGTCTCTCTCTGGTCTCTCTCTGGTCTCTCTGTGGTCTCTCGCTAGTCTCTCTCTCTGGTCTCTCTCTGGTGTCTTTGTCGTCTCTTTCTAGTCTCTCTCTGGTCTCTCTCTGGTCTCTCTGTGGTCTCTCTCTGGTCTCTCTCTAGTCTCTCTCTCTGGTCTCTTTCTGGTCTCTTTTTGGTCTCTCTCTAGTCTCTCTCTGGTCTCTCTCTACTCTATCTCTGGTCTCTCTCTGGTCTCTCTCTCTGGTCTCTCTGGTCTCTCTCTCTGGTCTCTGTGATGAAGAGGGAGCTTCCGCCATCAGAGCTGTATCCGACTCTTGTAAAGAGGGAGCAGCGTCTGCCATCAGAGCTCTAGTCCCCTCCCTCACCTGGTCATGATCTTTGGGTAGGGCTGGGCTCGAAATCTCGATATTATTTCCTGCTTTGGACGATGTTGATTTTCATTAAAGTCACTCAAGACAGACTTTGCCCTTAAAATATTTTTTATCTTCCCGCTCAATATTTAAGTTTCAAAACTATTTTTTATTTTTTTCCCCCAATACATAATATTAAAGTCTTGTACAGACTGTGCTGCTATTGCAAGTATAATTGATGTGCTGCTGGAACTCTCACAATATCCCTCATTCGATGTCACGATTTTCACATTTTTCACGAATTCGATTTTTTCAAAAGCCGATTAGTTGCCAAAATTTGATTTATTGCCCAGCCCTATCTTTGGGTAATGACTGAAAGGATGAGATCCAGAGCCACATTAGCTCCCTCAGAGATTGAGGAGCTCAGTCACACAGGAGGAGCTCGGAGTGGAGCGGCTACTCCTCCACATGGAGAGGAGCCAGTTGAGGTGGCACAGGCCTCTGTTTGGCCTCAGGATTCCCCCAAATGAGGTGGAGTTGGAGTGTGTGGAGAGGGAAGTCTGGACTTTAAAGTTACGTAGCTCAGCTTTAAAGACCTCTCGCCTGTGAGAGTATGTTCCCTTTAATCTCTGGTTTGAATGTTTTCCTTCGTATCTGCAACATGAACCACATACACATCGACCAATGGCATCTCCTCCTCCTGCTCCTTCTGCTATGACGGCTGCATCCCAAACCACTGCACACTCCTCCTTCACAACCTCCCTCCTCCTCATCACCACACACACACCTCTCAAAGCTTCTACACAACACTTGAATAAACGTAGAGCTGTCTTGCCACATGAGAGATCCGTTTGGAGCGGAGAGGAGAGGAGACGAGGAGGAGCTGTGGTGAGTTTGGGATGCAGCCTCTCTCTCTCCACCTGCTGCTGATGCTACACACATACAACACGTGCCTTTACGCATCACACACGGATCCGGACGCCGTCTCTGTGTTACCATGGTTCATTCGCCTTCTGACTATTCATACTACTGCTGCTGATACTGCTGCTGATACTGCTGCTGATACTGCTGCTGATACTGCTGCTGATACTGCTGCTGATACTTCTGCTGTTACTGCTGCTGTTACTGCTGCTGTTACTGCTGCTGTTACTGCTGCTGAGAGCCAGGCTGGGGCTGAGGCAGGACATGCCCACACTCAAGCCTCGTTTTGGGGGATGCCCTGGACTGAAGCGCTGGAGGGAGATGCAGACGTGAAGCAGGCGAGTGTGAACGGGAGAGAGAGAGGGTGAGGACGAGTGAACGGGGGAGAGAGAGGGTGAGGACGAGTGAACGGGGGAGGAGAGGGTGAGGATGAGAGAACGGGGGAGAGAGAGGGTGAGGACGAGTGAACGGGGGAGAGAGAGGGTGAGGACGAGTGAACGGGGGAGAGAGAGGGTGAGGATGAGAGAACGGGGGAGAGAGAGGGTGAGGACGAGTGAACGGGGGAGAGAGAGGGTGAGGACGAGTGAACGGGGGAGAGAGAGGGTGAGGACGAGAGAACAGGGGAGAGAGAGGGTGAGGACGAGAGAACAGGGGAGAGAGAGGGAGAAGTCATATTCAGATGAGGCTTTGTGTTGGAGTTTGTGTTGGCTGAGAGAACAGGAGAAGGCTTCACTCTGGTGAAAGACTACTCTACTCTACTCTACTCTACTCTACTCTACTCTACTCTAACCTGGTTGCATTACACTTTAGTATCTGGTATCTGCCCACAACGAACCAGTATCCGGGAAAATTCCTTGGCTTCGAACGGACACAAACAAACTGAGGCTGTAGATCCAGGACTGAGGCTGTAGACCCAGGACTGAGGCTGTTGATCCAGGACTGAGGCTGTATATCCAGGACTGAGGCTGTATATCCAGGACTGAGGCTGTAGACCAAGGACGGAGGCTGTTGATCCAGGACTGAGGCTGTAGACCAAGGACGGAGGCTGTTGATCCAGGACTGAGGCTGTAGACCCAGGACTGAGGCTGTATATCCAGGACTGAGGCTGTAGATCCAGGACTGAGGCTGTATATCCAGGACTGAGGCTGTAGATCCAGGACTGAGGCTGTAGACCCAGGACTGAGGCTGTAGACCCAGGACTGAGGCTGTTGATCCAGAACTGAGGCTGTATATCCAGGGCTGAGGCTGTATATCCAGGACTGAGGCTGTAGACCCAGGACTGAGGCTGTTGATCCAGGACTGAGGCTGTAGATCCAGGACTGAGGCTGTAGACCCAGGACTGAGGCTGTATATCCAGGACTGAGGCTGTATATCCAGGACTGAGGCTGTATATCCAGGACTGAGGCTGTAGATCCAGGACTGAGGCTGTAGACCCAGGACTGAGGCTGTATATCCAGGACTGAGGCTGTAGACCCAGGACTGAGGTTGTATATCCAGGACTGAGGCTGTAGACCCAGGACTGAAGCTGTAGATCCAGAACTGAGGCTGTAGATCCAGGACTGAGGCTATAGATCCAGGACTGAGGCTGTAGATCCAGGACTGAGGCTGTAGACCCAGGACTGAGGCTGTAGACCCAGGACTGAGGCTGTTGATCCAGGACTGAGGCTGTATATCCAGGACTGAGGCTGTATATGCAGGACTGAGGCTGTAGATCCAGGACTGAGGCTGTAGACCCAGGACTGAGGCTGTAGACCCAGGACTGAGGCTGTTGATCCAGGACTGAGGCTGTATATCCAGGACTGAGGCTGTATATCCAGGACTGAGGCTGTAGACCAAGGACGGAGGCTGTTGATCCAGGACTGAGGCTGTAGACCCAGGACTGAGGCTGTATATCCAGGACTGAGGCTGTATATCCAGGACTGAGGCTGTATATCCAGGACTGAGGCTGTAGACCAAGGACGGAGGCTGTTGATCCAGGACTGAGGCTGTAGACCAAGGACGGAGGCTGTTGATCCAGGACTGAGGCTGTAGACCCAGGACTGAGGCTGTATATCCAGGACTGAGGCTGTAGATCCAGGACTGAGGCTGTATATCCAGGACTGAGGCTGTTGATCCAGGACTGAGGCTGTAGATCCAGGACTGAGGCTGTATATCCAGGACTGAGGCTGTTGATCCAGGACTGAGGCTGTAATCTCCCTGTAATGTCTTTGCCTCTCACTACACACAGAGATGTAGTGGTAGGGGAAACTGGAGCATGGAAACCTACATAGACGCTGGAGAACGTGCAAACTCCACTCAGAAAGACCTGGAGGTGGAATCAAACCCAGGACCTTCTTGCTGTAAAGAACAAGCGCAAACCACTGCACCAGCGTGCCACCCCAAGACTGAGGCTGTAGTGCAGGACTGGGTTTCCTCCAGGTGCTCCGGTTCCCCCACACACAGCGGACAGTAAAGTGATGTTTTCTCAGTGTGATCTTGTCGTGACGTTTGGTGATTTCTAACTTTAGAGCGGTTATTTTCTAAACAGCGTCTCCATGGAAACAGCAGCGTGGCGACCGCTGAGGCAGAACCGGGGGAAGCCCTCTCTGCTTCTGTCTCAGACACACAGGAAGATTCTGTTCAATTTATTTATGTACCGCATCACAACAGCTGGGATCGCACATTACATACACACACACACACACACACACACACACACACACACACACACACACACACACACACACACACACACACACACACACACACACACACACACACACACACACACACACACACACACACACACACACACACACACACACACACACACACACACACACACACACACACATACGCACACACACACACACACATACGCACACACACACACACACACACACACACACACACACACACATACACACACACACACACACACACACACACACACACATACACACACACACATACACACACATACGCACACACACACACACATACACACACATACGCACACACACACACACATACATACACACAGCTCCTTCCTCCTCGTCTTCGTCAGGTCAGCAGCAGTGGGTTGGAACAAACACTATATTTAGAGAATAGAATCATGCGTTTGTTGTTTGAGCAGTTTATTTGTGTAGCACAGTTCATACACCAGGCTTCTGTTCTGTTCCGTATTTAACATAAACATTTGCAATGAAGAGAAAGAGTTTTGGTTCTGGTTCTGATGCTGTTTGCTCTGTTTCAGAGTCGGAGTCGGAGGAGGAGGATGGGGAGGAGCTGGAGGAGCGAGCAGACTCTGGTAAACTCTCATTGATCTGCTTTTTAACAAAGAAAACTCACAGAGAGAAGGTCCGTGTTAGCTTTAGCTTTAGCACAGTCTCAAATATGAGCAGTTACAGTGCTTGTACCTTTGTGTGTCTTTATGTTAAAAGCTTTGAGTCCTTTTTAAGCCCCGCCCCTGAGAATGTCGGGGGTGAAGACGACCAGTGGGTTTCATGAAACAGTTACCATGTTCTCAATTAAGTTACTGACCTTTGACCTGTTCACTTTGTTCTTCTGTCAGTGATGGACACAGCTGCAGATGTGGATCCACAACATGAAGACCACACGGCAATCAGGTACCGGAGAGACCAGAGAGAGACCAGAGAGAGACCAGAGAGAGACCAGAGAGAGACCAGAGAGAGACCAGAGAGAGACCAGAGAGAGACCAAAGAGAGACCAGAGAGAGAGACCAGAGAGAGACCAAAGAGAGAGACCAGAGAGAGACCAGAGAGAGAGACCAAAGAGAGACCAGAGAGAGAGACCAGAGAGAGAGACCAGAGAGAGACCAGAGAGAGAGACCAGAGAGAGACCAAAGAGAGACCACAGAGACCAGAAGGACCTGAGAGAGACCATGATTCATATTTTTTGTAATCTGGACAAAACAATTGTTTGTGAAAAACGCTGTTAATTAAAGTGGGTCCTCCCGTGTTTCTGCAGGGAGTCCCCTCCCCAGACGCTTCCCCCTCCCTCCCCTCGCCCGTCCAAACGCCTCCCTTCCTCTCCCATGCCCTCCTCCCCCATGCCCTCGCGCTCCACCACGCCCATCGGAGCACGCAAGAGGATCAGCGTTCCGCCCGGAGACTACCAGGACACGGTCCCCGGCGAGTTCCAGGACAAAGTCAAACAGCCCAAACCCGCGCTCACAAACACCTGCCAGCAGGAGACCCGCCCGCAGACACCTCTGAGCGAGCAGTCACGCAAGGAGTACACCCCCAGACCGTCGCCAAAGCTCACACGCGCCAGCTCCAAAGTATTTGAGAAGGTGCGCGGGCTGGAGGAGCGCCGCCGCAGCCTGGACGTCCCCGAGGGCTCGGTCTCAGGGCGCTCGTGGGCGGGCTTTAACCGCGCCGGCTCCGTGGACTCGGACGATGGCGGCAGCCGCTTGGGGATTTCCAGGGAGAGCTCCAGAGAGGACCTCCGCGAGGCTCTGAAGGAGGACGCGGCTGAGCGCAGGAGCATGTTCAGGCAGAGGGCGGCGTCTCTGGAGGACAAGCCGCGTTACTCTCAGAAAGTGCAAGACATCGAGAACAAGTTCACAGAAGAGCTACAGCGCATCAAGAAGCTGGTGGGGAAGACGCACATGAAGAAGTCCTTCTCCACAGAGCAGCTCACACTCAAGGCCAAGCAGCGCACGCCGCTGCGCAAGATAGAGCCCATTCCCCCACAGGTTCTACAGAAGCTCCAGGAGAGAGAGAGAGCAGGCTGGGACAAAGAGAAAGCGCAGAGACAGGAGAGAGACCCGCTGAGCCCGCCTGAGTCGGTGCAGCTCACGGAGCTGCCCGGCCAGCGCCCGCTCCGCAGCCCGATAACTGAGGTCGCTCAGCGGTCGTCATCGCCGCTGGTGCAGCAGCTGGAGGCGCCGCGCAGAGAGAAGCGGCCTCCGAGCCCGCTGGTGCAGAGGGTCACACCGCGTCTCCAGGACGACGCCTCAGGCCGCAGGACGCCTGTGGAGGTTGCTCTGCGCAGAGTGGAGGCGCGGCCCGAGAGTCCCCTGGTGCAGAGGAGGGGAGGTGCAGATGTCCCGCCTCCCAAACCACTGCGCACCAGCGAAGACCCGGGCTGGAGCGTCCCCAGGATCGTGGTGCGAGAGGAGAAGACCGTGCCAAAAGAGGGGAGCCGAGAGGGGGCCCTCAAGAGCCGCAAGAAGAAGACCAGACCCATGTCTCCGGAGCAAGGTGAGTCAAAGCTTAGGAAGGTGCCGCAGGGCTGATTTCAGATGTAGAAGCCTGCAGAGAGGCGCTGCACAGAGGTCCTGCACAGAGGTCCTGCACTGAGGCGCACACAGAGGCGCTGCACTGAGGCGCACACAGAGGCGCTGCACTGAGGCGCACACAGAGGGGCTGCACTGAGGCGCACACAGAGGTGCTGCACTGAGGCGCACACAGAGGTGCTGCACAGAGGTCCTGCACAGAGGTCCTGCACTGAGGTGCACACAGAGGTGCTGCACTGAGGCGCACACAGAGGTGCTGCACAGAGGTGCTGCACTGAGGCGCACACAGAGGTGCTGCACTGAGGTCCTGCACAGAGGTCCTGCACAGAGGTGCACACAAGTGCTGCACTGAGGCGCACACAGAGGTGCTGCACTGAGGTCCTGCACAGAAGTCCTGCACTGAGGTGCACACAAGTGCTGCACTGAGGTGCACACAGAGGTCCTGCACTGAGGCGCACACAAGTGTTGCACTGAGGCGCACACAGAGGTGCTGCACTGAGGCGCACACAGAGGGGCTGCACTGAGGCGCACACAGAGGTGCTGCACAGAGGCGCACACAGAGGTGCTGCACTGAGGCGCACACAGAGGGGCTGCACTGAGGCGCACACAGAGGTGCTGCACAGAGCCGCACACAGAGGTGCTGCACAGAGGCGCACACAGAGGTGCTGCACTGAGGCGCACACAGAGGTGCTGCACTGAGGCGCACACAGAGGTGCTGCACTGAGGCGCACACAGAGGTGCTGCACTGAGGCGCACACAGAGGGGCTGCACTGAGGCGCACACAGAGGTGCTGCACTGAGGCGCACACAGAGGGGCTGCACTGAGGCGCACACAAAGGGGCTGCACTGAGGCGCACACAGAGGTGCTGCACTGAGGCGCACACAGAGGTGCTGCACTGAGGCGCACACAGAGGGGCTGCACTGAGGCGCACACAGAGGTGCTGCACTGAGGCGCACACAGAGGGGCTGCACTGAGGCGCACACAGAGGTGCTGCACTGAGGCGCACACAGAGGTGCTGCACTGAGGCGCACACAGAGGTGCTGCACTGAGGCGCACACAGAGGTGCTGCACTGAGGCGCACACAGAGGTGCTGCACTGAGGCGCACACAGAGGTGCTGCACTGAGGCGCACACAGAGGTGCTGCACTGAGGCGCACACAGAGGGGCTGCACTGAGGCGCACACAGAGGGGCTGCACTGAGGCGCACACAGAGGGGCTGCACTGAGGCGCACACAGAGGGGCTGCACTGAGGCGCACACAGAGGTGCTGCACTGAGGCGCACACAGAGGTGCTGCACTGAGGCGCACACAGAGGGGCTGCACTGAGGCGCACACAGAGGTGCTGCACTGAGGCGCACACAGAGGTGCTGCACTGAGGCGCACACAGAGGTGCTGCACTGGGGCGCACACAGAGGGGCTGCACTGAGGCGCACACAGAGGTGCTCCTCTTCCCAAAGTAGAGGCCTCTCGTATTTTTAGATCAGCTTTTTCAGCCCAAAGGTGAGCCTCACTCACAGCTGCTTCCTCTCACAGACTCCTCAGACGACTCGTACGTCTCGGCCGGTGAGGACCCCCTGGAGTCTCCGGTCTTTGAGTTCCCTCTGCAGGACACAGTCAGTGTCTCAGGAGCCGACTTGGTCCTCAAGTGCATCATCTCCGGGACCCCCAAACCAGAAGGTAGACCTGCTCTAGACCTGATTTAGTCCTGCTTTAGTCTCACTCTGGACTCTTTCTGGTCGTTCTCTCTTGTGTCTCTCTCTGGTCTCTCTCTGGTCTCTTCCTGGTCTCTTTCCGGCCTCTCTCTGGTCTCTCCCTGGTCTCTCCCTGGTCTCTCTCTGGTCTCTCTCTGGTCTCTCCCTTGTCTTTCCCTGGTCTCTCCCTGGCCTCTCTCTGGTCTCTCTCTGGTCTCAGTGTATCTGTATTTCCCTCAGTGACGTGGTCCAAAGATGGAGGTCCGGTCTCAGGTCTGGGTCTGAACTATGCAGTGAAGGTGGAAGGAGAGCGTCACAGTCTCTGGATCAAATCTGTGAGAGTTTGCAACGGCGGCGTTTACTGTGCGAGCGCCAAGAACGAGATCGGGGAGGCCTCCAGCTCCGCCACGCTGACCGTGAGAGGTAAGCTTTAGACTGGGTTTAGACCGGGTTCAGACCGGGTTTGGACAGGGTTTTGACCAGCTTTAGACTAGGTTTAAGTCCTCTCTCGTCTCTTTGTTCTCTGACTGGTCTCTCTCCTCTCCCCTCTCTCCTCCCCTCTCTCTCCTCCCCTCTCTCTCCTCACCTCTCTTTTCTTTACTCTCTCCTCTCCCCACCTCTCTCTCCTCCCCTCCGCTTCCGGTTGGTTTGACTGAGAGCGCGTGGTTTCGAGTGGAGTTTTTTGAGTATTTTTGTGGTTTTTGCCAAAGTGTTTCTCTGGATTACCGTGCGCTTGTGTTTCGGAATGTTTGTTGCCCGTGTACCGGCCTCCGGGCGAGGCGTAATGCCCGGGATGGCCGGGGACAGAGGTTTGGAGCAGCTGACGCGGCGTCACGCTGTGAAGCTTGTGACTGCGGCGTCCTGCTCTGTGGAGGAGGCGATACTCGCTGTGGGGAAAGAAGTGGGATACGTCCACATTAAGTCTGCTTCACGTATGAACGGAGCGGTCGTGATCTTTCTGTCCAGCACTGAGAAGGTGGCGGAGGCCGTGGAGAAGGGAGCCACCATCCAGGGCCTGTTCACCTCTGTCCTGCCGCTGGTGAGTCCCGCCAGGCGGGTCATCGTCTCCAACGCTCCTCCGTTTATCAAGAACGAGACTCTAGCTGCAGAACTGTCCCGGTTCGGACAGCTGGTGACACCGATTAAAATGATGTCACTGGGCTGTAAGTCACCGCTGCTCAGACACGTAGTGACCATCGCAGACAGGTGCTCATGGTGCTGAAGGACCATCGCAGACAGGTGCTCATGGTGCTGAAGGACCATCGCAGACAGGTGCTCATGGTGCTGAAGGATAACTCCGAATTAAACCTGTCCTTCACTTTTAAAGTTGATGGATTCAGTTATGTGATTTTTGCTTCATCTGAGAACATGAAATGTTTTGGCTGCGACGCAGAGGGTCACCTGATCAGAGCGTGCCCAGAACGAATGGATCAGAATGTGCCGTGTAATGACGCACAGACACCGAGCACCTCTGCAGCTTCCGCTGAGACCAGCGCGGAGGCCGCGGAGCCATCGGGGGACCGCCCCCGGCCCCAACACCTCCCCCCGCGGACGGCACTGCTGGGGACCCCCCCGACAACCCAGACACTGCTGCGGGGCCCGCGGTGGAGCCCGCGGTGGAGCCCGCTGCGGGGCCCGCAGTGGAGGCCCCCACTGCTGTCAATGACCCTGACAGCACTCCTCCTCCCCCCGAGGAGCAGGTGTGTGACATGAGTCAGGAGCTGAGCAGTGTGGGAGACAGTGACTCTGAGTATTTAGATGAGGAGATGTCAGATGGGGAGCAGTGTCTCTGTTATGTTTGTCTCTTACATAACTTTTAAGAAGTTCATACAGAAACTCTGGTGACTTCAGTAACGTCTTTACTTGACAGGTGTCATTCAAAGTACAAGATATCAGTACGCTACCCGCGTACTCGTTACATATGCGCTGTGCGTATACTCGAGAGAAAGTAGTCCCTACTGTTGTAATCAATACATAACAATTCCTCCCTTCCAGCTTTTATGCTCTTATCAAACAAAAATCAAAAGTAAGATAAATGGTTACTTGAATAACAAATGCACATTTAAATGCATAACATTTTTGTTTTGTTACACACCTCTCTCTCCTCCCCTCTCTCTCCTCTCCCCTCTCTCCTCACCTCTTTTCTTTACTCTCTCCTCTCCCCACCTCTCTCTCCTCCCCTCTCTCTCCTCTCCCCACCTCTCTCTCCTCCCCTCTCTCTCCTCTCCCCTCTCTCCTCACCTCTTTTCTTTACTCTCTCCTCTCCCCATCTCTCTCTCCTCCTCTCTCTCTCCTCTCCCCTCTTTTCTTTACTCTCTCCTCTCCCCACCTCTCGCTCCTCCCCTCTCTCTCTTCCCTCTCTCCTCACCTCTCTTTTCTTTACTCTCTCCTCTCCCCACCTCTCTCTCCTCCCCTCTCCCCTCACCTCTCTTTTCTTTACTCTCTCCTCTCCCCACCTCTCTCTCCTCTTCCTTCTCTACTCACCTCTCTTTCCTCTCTTCTCTCTCAGGTTATTTTTATACATTATTTCTTTTCCCTCCTTCTCATTCTCTTGTGCTTTAAATATAAACGCTATAGTTTCCATAGTAACGAGTGGGAGGCGGGAGCATCGTCCAGAGGAACAAACATAGTCTTTTGTTTTCAACACTAAACTCCTGTTTACTTTTCCCTCCTCTCTCTGCGTCTCCTCGGGGCGCTCAGTCTGTGTGAAATATATCAACATGTATTTAAACTACATCAATATTTGTTACGGATTTTCTTTTCATTTTTTGACTCAAAAAAACAATAATTTTCAATGAAGAAAATATAAATGCATCAAATGTTTTGCTTTCAAGTCTCTCTCTCACAGGTCTCTCTATGGTCTTGCTGGTCTCTCTCTCACAGGTCTCTCTATGGTCTTGCTGGTCTCTCTCTCGCAGGTCTCTCTATGGTCTTGCTGGTCTCTCTCTCACAGGTCTCTCTATGGTCTTGCTGGTCTCTCTCTCGCAGGTCTCTCTATGGTCTTGCTGGTCTCTCTCTCACAGGTCTCTCTATGGTCTTGCTGGTCTCTCTCTTGCAGGTCTCTCTATGGTCTTGCTGGTCTCTCTCTCGCAGGTCTCTCTATGGTCTTGCTGGTCTCTCTCTCACAGGTCTCTCTATGGTCTTGCTGGTCTCTCTCTCACAGGTCTCTCTATGGTCTTGCTGGTCTCTCTCTTGCAGGTCTCTCTATGGTCTTGCTGGTCTCTCTCTCGCAGGTCTCTCTATGGTCTTGCTGGTCTCTCTCTCACAGGTCTCTCTATGGTCTTGCTGGTCTCTCTCTCACAGGTCTCTCTATGGTCTTGCTGGTCTCTCTCTCTCGCAGGTCTCTCTATGGTCTTGCTGGTCTCTCTCTCACAGGTCTCTCAATGGTCTTGCTGGTCTCTCTCTCTGGTCTCTCCCTGGTCTGGTGTTCTCTCTCTCCGGTCTCTTTCTCTGGTCTCTATGTTAATGGTCTCTCTCTGGTCTGGTCTGGTCTATCTCTGTTCGCTCACTTTTCTCTAACTTACTGTGTAGTTTCTTCTGGTCTTGCATTGACAGAGAACATGGTGTCTCCGAACTCGAACCTGAACCTCCCTCTGGACCTGAGCAGCCCGATCACATCTGACGAGGAGTACCTGAGTCCCCTAGAGGAGAGTGTGGAAACTACAGCCGACTCACACCGGCTGAGCCCACGATTCAAACAACCCCCTGCCTTTGTGGTGAGAGGCGGCCTTAGAGCTGGACTAGATCTGGACTAGAGCTGGACTAGAGCTGGACTAGAGCTGGGCTAGAGCTGTACTAGAGCTGGACTAGAGCTGTAACACAGGTGTAATGTGAGGTCTTTTCTCCTCAGTCCACCATGAGTGACCAGTCCGTGGTTGAGGGTCGGGAGGTGTCTTTCTCAGTGCGGGTCAGCGGCCAGCCCAAACCCATGCTCTACTGGTGAGTCGCCATAAACACAGAGACCAGAGAGACTAAAGGGAGACTAAAGAGAGACTAGAGAGAGAATAGAGAAAGGCTAGGGTGACTAGAGAGACCAGAGAGACCGGAAAGAGACTAAAGAGAGACTAGAGAGAGACTAGAGAGAAACTAGTGAAAGACCAGAGAGACCAGAGAGAGACCAGAGAGAGACCAGAGAGAGACCAGAAAGAGACCAGAAAGAGACCAGAGAGAGACCAGAGAGAGACCAGAGAGAGACCAGAGAGAGACCAGAGAGAGACCAGAGAGAGACCAGAGAGGGACCAGAGAGGGACCAGAGAACAACTTTACAAATGAAACAACAACTTTTGCAACATCACAAACTCTGAGGTCAGAGCTTGACTCCCACAAACACAGCTTCACGGCTCGTTCCGCTCTCAGGAGTTGTATACCCTCTTTAAATGTGTTGAGACGTGCTTATAACCTTCTCAAGATCTTGTGTGAGGGACAGAGCGTGTGCCCCCCTGCTGGTGAGTATCGGTACTGCAGAGTTTGTTCAAGAGCGGGGAAGTCTCTTCTCTGCTGTTTCCATGACGACGGAGACTCCGGTCGCCATAGAAACTGGGAAAGTCCTCCACCACAAACTGTTTCTAAAAAATAATTATTGAAGCTTTTAATCCGACATGTTTACAACCAGAGAGTTTCCCAAATGGAGGGGGGCGGGCTCACCGTAGATTCTGAGGGTGAGGGGTTAAAGGGGAAGTTTGATGCAACATGTCAGTCTATTGTTTATACATAACCTATCTGTGGTCTGAGCGGTGCCTGCAGGGCCTCCAAGTGACCACGTTTACGATGATGAGAAGAAGAAGTACTTTATATAAAACACTACAGTACTTTATATAAAACACTGCAGTACTTTAAATAAAACACTGCAGTATTTTATATAAAACACTGCAGTACTTTTCACTGTTTTTATTCTGTTTATCATTTACTTTTCAGTGAAGCTCAATGGAACTGTTTTGGTTCTCAGTAGAACTGAAAGGTTACAAATAATATAAACTCAATAGATCACAGTACTACAGTATACTTTACAGTACAGTACTACAGTATACTGTACATTACAGTACTACAGTATACTTTACAGTACAGTACTACAGTATACTTTACAGTACAGTACTACAGTATACTGTTCATTACAGTACTACAGTATACTTTACAGTACAGTACTACAGTATACTTTACAGTACAGTACTACAGTATACTGTACATTACAGTACTACAGTATACTTTACAGTACAGTACTACAGTATACTTTACAGTACAGTACTACAGTATACTGTACATTACAGTACTACAGTATACTTTACATAAATAAAAACCTCGAATGTAAAACTAGGCAGTTGTACGTGAGTGGATTATGGATCATGTTCCTGCTCAGACTGTTTCCACGATGTTCCTGCTGTTGGTGAATATGTGGAGCACCTGGAGAAGGTTCTAGTCATTCTGTAGAAATATGTAACCACAAATTGTTACTGTAGGTTTAGTTTTTTTACAGTACTGTATACTGTACACAGTACTGTGACATCTCAATGGGACAGTACTATGTACTTTACTTTATTGTATGTTTCACAAAACTACCATTTTTCAAAAGGAGCAATATCCAACTTGCAAAACAGTACATGTGATAAAGTACTGTACTGTAAATACTGTAGATACTGTCTGCAGTACAGAGTTACAGTACATGTGATAAAGTACTGTAAATACTGTAGATACTGTCTGCAGTACAGAGTTACAGTACACGTGATAAAGTACAGTACTGTAAATACTGTAGATACAGTCTGCAGTACAGAGGTACAGTACATGTGATAAAGTACTGTACTGTAAATACTGTAGATACAGTCTGCAGTACAGAGGTACAGTACATGTGATAAAGTACTGTACTGTAAATACTGTAGATACAGTCTGCAGTAGAGAGTTACAGTACATGTGATACTGTAGATACAGTCTGCAGTACAGAGGTACAGTACATGTGATACAGTACAGTACTGTAAATACTGTAGATACAGTCTGCAGTACAGAGTTACAGTACATGTGGTACAGTACTGTAAATACTGTAGATACAGTCTGCAGTACAGAGGTACAGTACATGTGATACAGTACAGTACTGTAAATACTGTAGATACAGTCTGCAGTACACAGGTACAGTACATGTGATACAGTACTGTAAATACTGTAGATACAGTCTGCAGTACAGAGGTACAGTACATGTGATAAAGTACTGTACTGTAAATACTGTAGATACAGTCTGCAGTACAGAGGTACAGTACATGTGATAAAGTACTGTACTGTAAATACTGTAGATACAGTCTGCAGTAGAGAGTTACAGTACATGTGATACTGTACAGTACTGTAAATACTGTAGATACAGTCTGCAGTACAGAGGTACAGTACATGTGATACAGTACAGTACTGTAAATACTGTAGATACAGTCTGCAGTACAGTTACAGTACATGTGATACAGTACAGTACTGTAAATACTGTAGATACAGTCTGCAGTACAGAGGTACAGTACATGTGATACAGTACAGTACTGTAAATACTGTAGATACAGTCTGCAGTACAGAGGTACAGTACATGTGATACAGTACTGTGACAACCCCAGGGTTGCCCCTATGAAGTTTTGTTTCTGCCCCTTTTATGTACACTGTGCGCTCCAGCCATGTATATACGCCCTGTCCCGTCATAGCCTCACCTCATTGGCCCAGTGCTCGCGCTGCGGGTGGAGCGGCCCTCTTCCGCATTTTGAAAATGACAGTCGCGCTCTGACTGAGAAGGAGGCAGGAGAGACTGATCGCATGTGCTCGATAGAAGCAGAATTCTGGAGGTCGTACAATCCCTCCGTGTTCTAAGGTTCTGTGCGCTACTAAAACGCTGGAAAGCTCCGCATGTCATTCACGGAGACGCGTAAAAACGCTCGCTCCTTTTGCTCTTCCGCCTGCTCCAACACTGAAGCCTGTGCCGGCTGGGTACGTCAGCGCACCTCCCGCGTCATCGTAATGTGAGTGAAAAATATTAAATAAACTCTCTAATAGACACTCAGAAAAGCGCTCCCGTAAATATTATTCTGTTTTATGACAGTGAATATAAAAAGACTGTACCCCCTGCTCCATCAACATAGGTGCCTCAATCATACACGTGACATGTGAGTGTACTTTTTTGTTACTGTCTTCTTATTGTAAAATGTATAGTGAATAGTGTTTGATGATATTTTTCTGTGTGTGTGTTTTATCTTCAGCTGGTGCTGTGGAGCAGCTTATGTGGGGAGCTGCCTAAGCTTGTGAACTTTGGGAGGGGAAATACTTTGTTGCACAGTAGTACTGATTTTTTGGACTGTACAAATACACTTGGGACTCTTTATTTAATTTTCTGTGTGTTTCCTCTGGTTTTTTGTCATTCACATTTTAAGACTAAGGGTTTATATTTATACATCTATATTATAAGTCCTTGTGTGACGGAGACAATAGTTCAAACTAAACCTTCAATATCCCACTTGTCAGGAGGGATACCTGGCTGGCACCCCTATAAAACCACAACCCCAAATAATAACTCTAGTACCACCACAATCCCCCAACCTACAAACCATTACATAAAATAGTGGCACCCGAACAGGGACTTGTGAATGACAATACCACTGTGTGAAATAAAGACTGCACATAAAAAAAAATAAAAAATAAATGACCACAGAAGAAACCACCAAAAAGCAACCTCCCTTCCTTCCCCTTGGGGAAGAGGCTTCATCCCCCCATGAAGTTAGACCCTGCACACGCTCCACCGCATACTCACTTCTGGATATGTCCCTAACTGGCATGGAAAATTTCCTTGTTTCACCAGTGATGGCTCCGCCTCCTCCGGGTCCTCTAGTAAAAGACAGGGCTGACTCTGAGACCCCAGCAATGGACATAAAGTCTGCCATGGCGGAGGTTACGGCAATAATTAAGAGCGAGGTGCACAATTTGAAAGCCAGTACTACTGAAAGAGTGGAGGAAATTATCAAAGAACAGGTGATAAAACATATGGGACTCCTGAGGCAGCTGTCCAGTACCGGCAGGCCAAACGTGCCGCGGCCCGGGCTGTTGCAGAGGCAAAAACCCGGGACTGGGAGGAGTTCGGAGAGTCCATGGAGCATGACTATCGGTCGGCCTCGAAGAGGTTCTGGCAAACCGTCCGGCGCCTCAGGAGGGGGAAGCAGTTCTTTGCCAACACCGTGTATGGTGCGGGTGGAGGGCTGCTGACCTCGACTGAGGATATTGTCGGGCGGTGGAAGGGGTGCCAGCCAGGTATCCCTTCGAGGTTCTCCTCAATCCCCCCGTCACGGCCTCCGTTCAGGAGGCAGAGGCTGAGGATGTTGGGGCGGACACTTCCATCTCCCTGGCCGAGGTCACCAAGGTGGTTGGCAGCCTCCATGGTGGCAAGGCGCCGGGAGTGGATGAGATCCGTCCTGACTATCTAAAGTCTCTGGATGTTGTAGGACTGTCTTGGCTGACACGTCTCTGCAGCATCGCGTGGCGATCGGGTGCGGTGCCAATGGAGTGGCAGACCGGGGTGGTGGTCCCTCTCTACAAGAAGGGGGACCGGAAGGTGTGTTCCAATTATCGTGGGATCACACTCCTCAGCCTCCCCGGTAAGGTCTACTCCAAGGTACTGGAGAGGAGGCTACGTCCGATGGTCGAATCTCGGATTCAGGAGGAGCAGTGTGGTTTTCGTCCCGGTCGCGGAACACTGGACCAGCTCTATACTCTCCATCGGATACTCGAGGGTTCATGGGAGTTCGCCCAACCTGTCCACATGTGCTTTGTGGATTTGGAGAAGGCGTTCGACCGTGTTCTCCGGGGTGTCCTTTGGGGGGTCCTCCGGGAGTACGGGGTCCGGGGTCCTCTGCTGAGGGCCGTCCGGTCCCTGTATGACCGGAGTCAGAGCTGTGTTCGCATTGCCGGCAGTAAGTCAGACCTGTTCCCGGTGCATG